TTTGGGAATCTCAAGGATCCTTCCCACCCAAACCATTCCAGGATTCCATCCCGGATGTCGCTTTAGCACCAGGACACTTCCCACCCCCGCCAGCATTCCCGGTGGTCCTGAGGGGTCACAAATCCCTCCCATCCCTCCCAAGGCAGCGGCTCCACCCTCTGGAATTCTCTCCGGGAGCCATGGCAGCTCCGCAGCCTCCGGAGCGTTTTTAACTCCGCTGCCGGAGCAGATGGCGCTGGCAGAAATCTTGGAAGTCTGACAGGAATTATCTCCCCTCCCCTTCCCCCCACTCCTTCCCTTTTTCCTCCAAATATTCCTCCCCTCCTGCTTTTTTTATCGTTTTCCTCCCATCCTTGCTTTTTTTCTCAGGGAATTTTTCCAGGAATCTTTTTGATCTTTTCACCCACTTTTTATTCCAGCCAGCCGGAGGTTAACCACCTTTATCCCGGGAATTTTTCCTGGAATATTTCTGATCTTTTCTCCCTCTTTTTATTCCAGCCAGCCGGGGGTTAACCACCTTTATCCCAGGAAATTTTTTCCCCCGGAATCTTTTTGATCTTTTCTCACTGGGAATCTGCAGTGCTGCTGGAATACGCAAATGCCAGGGAATATTTATTCCCAAAAAACCCCATCCGAGCGCTGCTTTTCCCTCTCCTTCCTCACCCGTGCAGGGATTTTTCCCCGGGAATCAAGTGACTGCGCAGCTCCTGGCCGTGGGTGTGGAATGACAGCTCAAGGACTTCTAATTCCAGCCCCATTCCCACCCGATTCCTCCCTCTCCGCCTCTTTTCCATCCCCGTTTTCCTGGAATTCCACGGGAATGGTTTCTTCCAGGAGCTGCTTTGGGCTTTGGGTTGGGTCCCCTCCATTCCAGGGGTGGTCCCGCTGTGGGGATGGATCTGGTGCTCCCAGGTGGGATTTTTCCCTGGATTTTTGGTCGGGATGTGCTGAGGCAGCTGCAGCCATTCCTGCCTGGAGCAGGGATTCTCCCACTGGGATTTGATGGAGACTCAAGGAATGGTTTAAATCCCTTTTTCCCAGGGGGGTTTGGCTGCATGGGCTGGGAATTGCTGGGAAAGTCAGGGATAACCGGGATGTGCTGGGAACTTTCACGGGGGTGTGAGCACAGAATTCCCAGATTATTGAGGCTGGGAAAGAATTCCAAGGTCACAAATCCAAGCTGGGCCCGATCCCCACCAGAGCCCCGAGTGCCACCCACAGGAATCCCTTGGACACTCCAGGGATGGGACTCCAAAGCTCCCTGGGCAGCCCCTGCCAAGGCCTGAGCCCTTTCCATGGAAAACCATCCCAAATGTGGGAGCTGGGCCTGCCCTGGGCCAGGCTGAGGCCGCTCCCTCTTTTCCCGGGGCTCATTCCCTGGAGCAGATCCCGATCCCCGCTGGCTCCTGGCAGGAGCTGGGCAGAGCCAGAAGGACATTCCCGATCCCTGCCCCGATCCCAGCAGAGCTGCCCTGGCCCCAGCCCGGGGCTGATCCCACTTTTCCCGGGCTCTCCCGGCACGGATCCCTGGCAGCCCCTGCCCAGCCCAGGGGGGCTCGGGGGCCCTTCCCGAGGCACTGCCGGCATTCCATCCTCATGGCCAAGATCCCATCCATGGCTGCCCTCTGGCAGTGGGAGCCATTCCCTGTGTCCTGTCCATCCCTTGTCCCCAGTCCCTCTGCAGCTCTCCTGGAGCCCCTGCAGGCCCTGGAATGTGCTGGAATTCTCCCTGGATCCTTCTCCTCTCCAGGAGAACATTCCCAGCTCTCCCAGCCTGGCTCCACCCCTTAGACAATCCCATTGTCTAAGGATGCATTCCCAGCGGATGATCCATCCTGGATAACGCCGCCATTCCTACTCCAGATCCCTTTCCAAACCATTCCCAGCTCTTCACAGCACACCAGCCCTTCAACAGCTTTTCCAAATCTTCTTCCCAAACATTCTCTCCCAGAAACTCCCGACACACTTTGGGAATCTCCTGGATCCTCCTCATTCCAACGCCTCCAGGGCAGGATTCACATCCAAGACCGAAATATGGGATAAACCAGGATAAAAGTCCCGGTTCCCCTCTGGACACCGCAGGTTTGGGATGCTGGGATGGAATTTCTCCACGTGCACACATGGATCCATCCTCCACATCCCACACAAACGACCCCTTTTTATCCCAGCTCTTCCAGAGACTTGGGGAACGTCTTTCCCATGGAATTCCCGGCAGAGGAGAAGCTGCACCAACACAATCCCTGAAACCCCCGATTTTCCTTTATTTTTCAGGATCCAAGGACCCACCACAACCAGGTTTGGGATTGGTGGCACCAAAAACCTTCTGGAATGGGGTCAAGGACTTCCCACAGATGGATTTTGGGATTGGTGGCACCAAAAACCTTCTGGAATGGGGTCAAGGACTTCCCACAGATGGATTTTGAGTTTGGTGGAACCAAAAACCTTCTGGAATGGGGTCAAGGACTTCCCACAGATGGATTTTGAGTTTGGTGGAACAAAAAACCTTTAGGGACAAGGTCCAGGACCCACCACAACCAGGTTTGGATTTGGTGGCACAAAAAACCTTCTGGAACGGGATTAAGGACTTCCCACAGACGGATTTTGGGGTTGGTGGCACCAAAAACCTTCTGGAATGGGGTCAAGGACTTCCCACAGACGGATTTTGGGATTGGTGGAACCAGAAACCTTTAGGGACAAGGTCAAGGAACCACCACTGAAAGTTCTGGGATTGGTGACATCATAAATCTTTAGGGACAAGGCCAAGGACACCCCACAGCCAAGTCAGGGTTTGGTGGCACCACAAACATTTTGGGATAAGCTCAAGGAACCACCACAGCTGGATTTTGGGGTTTGGTGGCACCAAAAAGCCTTGGACAGGATCAAGGAGCCACCACAGCCGGTTTTGGATTCAGTGGCACCAAAAATCTTTAGGGACAAGGTCCATGACCCACCAGAGACGGTTTTGGGTTTGGAGACTCCATAAATGTTTTGGAATAAGCTCAAGGATCCACCACAGACGGTTTTGGGTTTGGAGACTCCAGAAATCTTTAGGAACAAAGTCCAGGACGCACCACAGCTGGTTTGGGATTGGTGGCACCATAAACTTTTGGGACAAGGTTTGGGACAGATGGATTTTGGGTTTGGACACTCCACAAATCTTTAGGGACAAGGTCCAGGACCCACCACAGGTGGATTTTGGATTCAGCAGCACCATAAACCTTTGGGACAAGGTCAAGGACTTCCCACAGAGGGATTTTGGGTTTGGTGGCACCAGAAATCTTTGGGAACGGAATCAAGGACCCACCAGAGACAGTTTTGGAATTGGAGACTCCAGAAATCTTTAGGGACAAGGTCCAGGACATCCCACAGCCAGGTTTGGATTTGGAGGCACCACACACCTTTAGGGACAAGGTCCAGGACCCGCCACAGGTGGATTTTGGGTTTGGTGGCACCAAAAATCCTGGAATGGGGTGAAGGACTTCCTACAAATGGATTTTGGGATTGGTAACACCAGAAATCTTTGGGATTGGAATCAAGAATGCACCAGAGACGGTTTTGGGTTTGGAGACTCCATAAATGTTTTGGAATAAGCTCAAGGATCCACCATAGATGGTTTTGGGTTTGGAGACTCCAGAAATCTTTAGGAACAAAGTCCAGGACGCACCACAGCTGGTTTGGGATTGGTGGCACCATAAACTTTTGGGACAAGGTTTGGGACAGATGGATTTTGGGTTTGAAGACTCCATAAATCTTTAGGGACAAGGTCCAGGACCCACCACAGGTGGATTTTGGATTCAGCAGCACCATAAACCTTTGGGACAAGGTCAAGGGCTTCCCACAGAGGGATTTTGGGTTTGGTGGCACCAGAAATCTTTGGGAACGGAATCAAGGACCCACCAGAGACAGTTTTGGAATTGGAGACTCCAGAAATCTTTAGGGACAAGGTCCAGGACATCCCACAGCCAGGTTTGGATTTGGAGGCACCACACACCTTTAGGGACAAGGTCCAGGACCCGCCACAGGTGGATTTTGGGTTTGGTGGCACCAAAAATCCTGGAATGGGGTGAAGGACTTCCTACAAATGGATTTTGGGATTGGTAACACCAGAAATCTTTGGGATCGGAATCAAGAACGCACCAGAGATGGTTTTGGGTTTGGAGACTCCATAAATATTTTGGGATGAGCTCAAGGATCCACCACAGACGGTTTTGGGTTTGGAGACTCCAGAAATCTTTAGGGACGAAGTCCAGGACCCACCACAGCTGGTTTGGGGTTGGTGGCACCAAAAACCTTTGGCACAAAGTCCAGGACATCCCACAGATGGATTTTGGGTCTGGAGACTCCATAAACATTTTGGGATAAGCTCAAGGATCCACCACAGGCATTCTGGGTTTGGCGGCACCAGAAATCTTGGGGAACAAGATCAAGGATCTCCCACAGCCAGGTTTGGGTTTGGTGGCACCAAAACCCTTCTGGAATGGGGTCAAGGACTTCCCACAGATGGATTTTGGGTTTGGTGGCACCAGAAATCTTTGGGAACGGAATCAAGGACCCACCAGAGACAGTTTTGGAATTGGAGACTCCAGAAATCTTTTGGGATAAGCTCAAGGATCCCCCAAATCCAGGTGCCTCATCCAGACCTCGTCCTGCTCCTCCTAAGCCCCAACTCCGGCATTCCCAGTTCCAGAGGTGGCACTCCCGCTGGGAATGCCCAGTGCCAGCACTGGGGGTGGTAGAGCCCCCCTGCCCTTGGCAGAGCCGATCCAGGAATTCCTGGAATTGTCCCCCAAAGTTCTCTCCTGGAATTCCCCAGTCCCACTTTCTGCTCCGAGCAGGACCAGGCATCCCTCCGATCTGGGAATTCCATGGAATTCCATGGAATACTACAAAATCCAAGAGCTGGAGCGACCTGGGAAGGGTCAAGCCTTTCCCACCCACTCCTCATCCCGAAGGGACCCTCCCTCCTCGTTCCCAAGGGATTCTCCCGCGTTTTTCCTCACCTACTGACTTGGTCCGTGGAATTCCCTTCCGGAGGGACACGTGGGGCTTCTCCGTTCCTGCCAGGACCCCGGGATGCGCCATTCCCTGGCGCTCAAACAGGGACTGGAAGGGAAAAACAGGGAATTCCCAGTCCGGATGCTGCTGGAAGGACCTGACATTCCCACCCAAACTTCCAACCACAGGAAAATGGGAGCTCTTCCCAGCGGGATGGACCCTCCTCGCCTCCACCTCCCTGCTGCTCCATCCAGAATTCCAAACTTTGGGATAATTCCCTGGGTCCCATCGCATATCCCTGCCCGCTCCAGTGAGGAATCCAGTGAGGATGGCTCCGGGAGCTCCTGTCCTGCTTTTCCCGGAGCTGCCGCCCACCCGCAGCATTCCCAGCACAATCCTGAGCCTCCTTCTCCACCTCCTCCTCCTCCCTCTGCACTTCCTCTCGGATCCCGGCGGAATTCCAGCCCTGCATCCAGCCTGGCTCTCCAGGCTCCTCCCGAGCTGCTCTTCCAGCCTTCCCCGGGAAATCCATGCGGATTCCCAGGCCTGCGTGGGGATCCTGGGGAGCCGAGGGAGTGCTGAGGCCCCACTGTGGATGGGAATCCTCCAGGCTCCGCATTCCTGGGAATTCCGCTCCTGAACCAGCTCCCCTTGGCACCACATTCCCTCCCATCCTTCTCCATGTGCTCCCTTCCCTCTCCTTCCATTCCCAGGAATCCCACTCCCTATTCCTGGGAATGCCACTCTCCATTCCCTCCCATCCCTCTCCCTCATTCCAGGCCCCCATTCCTGGTGGGATTCCCTCTGGCTCACACTGATCTCCTCAGTGAGATCCTCCGGATCCTTCTCATCCCTTTCCATGTGCTCCTGTCCCTCTCCTTCCTTCCTTGGGAATTCCACTCTCTGTTCCTGGGAATTCCACTCCCCAGTGCCTCTCATCCCTCTCCATGTCCTCCCATCCCATTCCGTGCCGCCATTCCCATGGAATTCCTGCTGGCTCACACTGATCTCACAGGGGTGATCCTGCAGCTCTCTCCCAGCCCATTCCCACATTCCCAGGGAATTCCCGCTGGCCCACACTGATCTCTGATCCTCCCATCTCATTCCCATCCCATTCCCCCATTCCTGCGGAATTCCCCGCTGGCTCACACTGATCTCCGCAGGGGTGATCCTGTGGCTCTCTCCCATCCCATTCCCACATTCCATGCCCCATTCCCAGGGAATTCTGGCTCACACTGATCTTCAAAGGGGTGACTCTCCCATCCCATTCCACGCCCCCATTCCCACAGAATTCCTGCTGGCTCACACTGATCTCCGCAGGGGTGATCCTGTGGCTCTCTCCCATCCCATTCCCACATCCCACGCCCCCATTCCCGCGGAATTCCCGCTGCTCACACTGATCTCTGCAGGGGTGACTCTCCCATCCCATTCCCACGTCCCCGTTCCCGCGGAATTCCCGCTGCTCACACTGATCTCTGCAGGGGTGACTCTCCCATCCCATTCCAATCCCATTCCTGCGGAAATCCTGCTGGCTCACGCTGATCTCCGCAGGGGTGATCCTGCGGCTCTCTCCCATCCCATTCCCACATCCCACGCCCCCGTTCCCGCAGAATTCCCGCTGGCTCACGCTGATCTCCGCAGGGGTGATCCTGCGGCTCTCTCCCATCCCATTCCCACATCCCATGCCCCCATTCCCACAGAATTCCCGCTGCTCACGCTGATCTCCGCAGGGGTGATCCCGCGGCTCTCTCCCATCCCATTCCCACATCCCACGCCCCCGTTCCCGCGGAATTCCCGCTGGCTCACGCTGATCTCCGCAGGGGTGACTCTCCCATCCCATTCCAATCCCATTCCTGCGGAAATCCTGCTGGCTCACGCTGATCTCCGCAGGGGTGATCCTGCGGCTCTCTCCCATCCCATTCCCACATCCCACGCCCCCGTTCCCGCAGAATTCCCGCTGGCTCACGCTGATCTCCGCAGGGGTGATCCTGCGGCTCTCTCCCATCCCATTCCCACATCCCATGCCCCCATTCCCACAGAATTCCCGCTGCTCACGCTGATCTCCGCAGGGGTGATCCCGCGGCTCTCTCCCATCCCATTCCCACATCCCATGCCCCCATTCCCACAGAATTCCCGCTGCTCACGCTGATCTCCGCAGGGGTGATCCTGCGGCTGGTCGGGCGCTGTTTCACCGTGGCCGCCCTGGAATCGGCCTCCACCAGCTCCGCCCTCAGCGCCGGCTCGGCGGCCGCCAGGATCTCATCCAGCTTCTCTGGAATCCAAGGAAAACCGGCTGATCCCGGGCAGTCAGCCCTGGGATCGCTCCCTTCCCACAGCTCACCCCGGAGAAGGGAGGGATTGTCCCTGCTGCTCCTCTCCCCAGCTGTTGGTTTTCCATGGATTTGTGGGGGCTGATCCCGCTCAGCCGGGGAATTCCATGGATGCTGTCCCACCCCACATTCCAAGGAATTCTCTGCCTGATGCTAACCAGCAAGTTCATCCCAAATTTTGGGTATTTGGGATGAGCCGAGTCCTGCCAGGAGGGTGGGAGATCCAGGGAATCCCAGGACACGGAGATGTCCATGGAATCCACACGGCTCCAGCACATCCAGCGTTTGTTTGGGATAAACTGGGATATTCCCAGGTGGAATGGACTCCCTGGATGATCCCAACTTTCCGTGTCCGGGGCAGGATCCAGTGCCCACGGATATTGGGAATACTGACAGAGCCACCACGGCCGTGTCCGAGCTCAGGGAATGGGGAGTGGGACTGGAATTCCCAGCTCCAAGATCCACCCTGGCACTTTTATCCCTTGGGAACACCAAGCTGTGCCCGGATGTGTCCCAGTGGATCCATTCCCTCGGGAATTCCAGCTGGAATCCTGAACCTCCCAATATGGGAAAAGGCAGGAGGTGGACATGGATTCATTTCCATGGATCCCACTTGAGCCGAGCCTACGGAATTCCCACCCGGAATGGGAAGCTGGGGCCGTTGGCTCCGTGTCACCTCCACCTGATGGTGCTTCCCAGATCCAGCTGGATCCGTATCCCACATTCCTGCCTTGGGAGAGGGACTGGGCACCTCCACCTGTGTCCAGGTGGGAATTGTAGCCCTGGAATTCTCCTGAAGCCAGGCTGGTCCATGGAATTGTGGGACATGGAATCCTGGTGTGGTTCGGGTAGGAAGGACCTTAAAGCTCATCCCATTCCATGGGACACCTTCCCATGATCCCAGATTTAGCTCTCCTGGAGCCCCTTCGGGCCCTGGAATGTGCTGGAAGCTCTCCCTGGAATCTTTTCTGGAAGAAAAGCATCCTGGATCCATCTCCAACCCTTGGGAACCTCCAGCTGATTTTCCTGATCCATGGGATCCTCGTGTGGCCCCCTCTGGATCTGCCTGATCCAGGGAAGGGTTGGGAATGTCCCTCAGACACTTCCCATGGTAATTCCTGCTCGGCTTCTTCCCTGCCCTATCCCCACGGGATCCCTGCTGGAAGAGCTGATCCCACATTCCCAGCTCCGTGGCGAACACGGAATGGGAACCACCAGGACAGAAAATCCTGGATCAGAAACTCCCAGGAGGGGTTGGGTGGGAAGGGACCTTCAATCCCATCCAGATCCAACCTTTCCACCAAAAACTTCCCAGTTTTTCTGAGGCCCTCACACGACATTCCTGGTACATCCTCAGGGTAGGAACAGTGGGATAATCCACATGGATCTACCAGGAATAGCAGGAAAAACTGCCTGGAACTGCCAGGAATAGCGGGATAAACTCCCTGGAACTGCCAGGAGAGGCTTTGGCTTTTTGGGATAAAGCTGGACACCGTCATTCCCGAGGATCCCACAGGGGACATTCCTGTGGGGAAAGCCCAGAGCAGGAATCACACCTGGGAGTGGCAGGGTTGGGAATTTTGGGATACAGGAGCATTCTGCCGGCGCCCAGCAGAATCCCACGTGGCCGTTCCTACTCCCGGCCCCATAATTCCTGGCATTCCAATCCCTGGCATTCCAATCCCTGGCATTCCAATTCCAGGTGTTCTAATTCCTACTGGAGCGGCTCCCGGACACCGGAGCCGATCCCAAATTCCCAAATTCCCGTCTGAATTCCCTGAGGCGCTGCAGGAGCAGCCACCCTCGGGATACCAGGATCTCCCCCCAGTCTGGATCCCGCCGGATCCCAGCGGGAGCTGGCAGGAAGGGGCGGAATCCCGGGAATTTCGGTTTCACTCACCCCCTTTCCTTCTCCGCATGGAGGCTTGGAATGGGAAACAAAAGACAGAATCAACGGCATGGAACAATTCCCGCCCCCATTCCCGGCTCCAGCCTGGCTCTTCCCACAATTCCCGGCCTCTGGCATGCGGGATCCGGCCTGGGATGTGGGATTTGGGCAGGGCACCTCGGAATTCCAGCCTTTATCCACTGGGATTGTCCCTCCGACCCGGGATTTGGGATTTATCCCAGCTCCAGGCTGGGATCATCCCTCACCCTCCTCATGGATCCAGGGAAGCCGGAGCGGGATTGGCTGGAATTCCATCCCAAGCCATGGAACATCTCCCAGGGCAATTCCCTGCATCCAAGCCCATGGATTTGGGCACAAGAGGGATTCTGGAGCATCCTGCTGGGAATCTGCTGCTCCAAGGGGATCGGAATGGCAGGAAAAGGGTCGGGAAGGGCACAGGGGGTGTTTGGGATCCATGGAAAACGGGGCGGGAAGTGCCCGGCAGAGCTTTCTTTGGGAATGTCCCTTTCCCTGACTGTTCCTCGGGAAGGAGAGCGGCTCCAAGCCGAAGAATCCTGGGAATGCTGATCCGCAGGAAAACCCGGAGTGAAGGATGGGAAGAGGATGGATCCCCTGTTTTCCCTGGAATGGCTTCAGCCCATTCCTTGATCCATGGGAATGAGCACCACAGTTCCCAGAAAAAATCATGGGAATTGTGGGATCAGAGCTGGAACAGCCTCCAGATCCTTCTCCCAGGATTGCTGCTCCCAATCCCTGTCCAGAAAAACTGGGAATTGCTGGGAGGGTGGAAGGAGGAATCCTAGGATCCGGGATGGGGGAAAAGTGGGAAAAAGGAGCTGGTCTGGCTCTGCTCCCAAGAATTCCCGCCAAAAAAAGAGCCTTTGGATTGGGAATAACGGTCTGGAAGTGCCGGGAATCAAGGGTGGGAATCCAGGAGGAGGCTCAGGATAAAATAAATCCCAGCTGGTCCAATATGGGAATTCTGGGATCTGATCCCACAGGATCTGGCTCCAAGGAGGAGCAAGAAAAGGCGTGGAAAACTGGGAAGGGCATGGAAAACCAGAGGGAATGGAAAAACAGGGATGGCATGGAAAACAGGGAGAGCAGGGGAAAAATGGAGAGCGCGGAAAACCGGGGAGGGCATGGAAAAAACAGAAGGAATTAAAAAAGAGGAAAACCGGGAAGGGCATGGAAAACCTGAAGGAACGGAAAAACAGAGAGCATGGAAAACCAGGATGAGCATGGAAAACAGGGAGTGGATGGAAAACCATGGAGAGCTTGGAAAACCAGAAGGAATTAAAAAAGAGGGAAGGCTTGGAAAACCAGGAAGGGCATGGAAAACCAGAGGGAATGGAAAAACAGAGAGCATGGAAAAACCAGGGAGAACACGGAAATCCACGGAGAGCTTGGAGAAACCAAGGAGGGTGTGGAAAAAACAGGGAGAAGATGGAAAACCAGGACAAGCATGGAAAACCAGAAGGGATGGAAAACCAGGAAGGGCAGGGAAGAACCAGGGAGAACATGGGAAAGAGGGAGGGCATGGAAAAACCAAGGAGGGTATAGAAAAACAGGGAGAACATGGAAAACCAAGGAAAACATGGAAAAATGGAGAGCATGGATAAAACAAGGAGGGTGTCCAAAACCAGGACAAACATGGAAAACCAAGAAGGTCCTGGAAGACAGGAAGAGGATGGAAAACCACGGAGAGCTTGGAAATCCAGAAAGAATGGAAAACCAGGAAGGGCATGGAAAAATCAGGGAGAACCTGGAAAAGGGAGGACATGGAAAACTGTAGAGAACATGGGAAGCCAAGGAAAACACGGAAAAATACAGAAACAGGGAAAAAACAGGGAAAGCATGGAAAATCAGGGGGAATGTGAGATCCTGCTGAGGCTCCAGGGTGCCACATTCCCAGATGGAAAATCCCAAATTCCCATGGAAGCTGGGGCAGCATCGACGGCCTCGGAGCCAGCCCAGGGACGCCCCAAAGTTTTCCCAGATTTGGGATCCCTCCATGGCCACGTGGCTGCTCCGGTGACATCCAGGGACAAAGTGCCACCAGATCCGGGAAAAGGGAAGGGATGGAGCGGGATCAGCTCCCACCCCGCCAAGGAGTCCTGGGGACATCCCAGGTGGCCACAGGGGCTGGGAAAAACCAGGAATTCTGGCAGCGGGAAGCAGGGAATGGTGGGAGTGGAGAGGATTTCAGGGAATCTGGGAATGTGGAGCGGGATGGGAAAGCAGCAGGAAATGTGGGAGTGGCAGCGGGGTGGGGGGGATGGAGCAATCCTGGAATTCTCCTGGAATTCTCCCAGGGCTCACCTGGAGCTCTCTTGGAGTTCTCTTGGAATTCTCCTGGAGCTCTCCTGGAGCTCTCCCAGAATTCCAGAGCTCTCCTGGAGCTCACTTGGAGGTCTCCTGGAATTCCAGAGCTCTCACAGAGCTCTCCTGGAGCTCCCTGGAATTCCAGAGCTCTCCCAGAGCTCTCCTGGCGGGGTTTGGGATCTGCCTGGAGAAGGGAAATCCAAACCTGGGACTGCCGGGTGTGGGAAGGAGGGAGAGGAGCGGGATGAGGAGCAGGATAAGGAAACGGGAAAGGAAGGAGAGGAGCAGGGAGAAGGACAGGGAATGGAGCTGGGAATGGAGCAGGAGTAGGGAAAAGAGCTGGGAATGGAGCAGGGAAAGGAGCAGGGAAAGGAGCTGGGAAAGACCAGGAGCAGGGAGAGGAGCTGGGAATGGAGCAGGAAGAGCAGGAACAGGGAAAAGAACAGGGACAGGAACAGGAGAAGAGAGAGGATCAGGGAGAAGGGCAGGAGCAGGGAGAAGAGCAGGGAAAGGGGCAGGGAAAGGATTAGGGAATGGAACAGGGAATGGAGCAAAGAATGGAAGGAGCAGGGAAAGGAGCAGGGAGAGGAGCTGGGAATGGAGCAAGAATAGGAGCTGGGAAAGGAGCTGGGAAAGGAACAGGAGAAGAGAGAGGATCAGGAAAAGGAGCAGGAGCAGGGAGAGGGGCAGGAAAAGGCTTAGGGGATGGAACAGGGAATGGAGCTGGGAAAAGAGCAGGGAAAGGAACTGGGAATGGAGCTGGGAAAAGAGGAGCTGGGAATGGATCAGGAATTGATCAGCGAATGGAGCAGAGAACGGAGGAGGAAAAGCAACAGGAGAAGAAAGGATCAGGAAAAGGAGCAGGAGCAGGGAGAGAGGCAGGCAGAGGATGAGGATCAGGAAAAGGAGTAGGAGGAACAGGGAAAGGAGCAGGGAAAGGAGCTGGGAAAAGAGGAGGGAAAGGAACTGGGAATGGATCAGGGAGAGGAGCTGGGAATGGATCAGGAATTGATTAGGGAATGGAGCAGGGAATGGAGCTGGGAATTAAACTGGGAATTGATCAGGAAATGGAGCAGAGAATGGAGCAGGGAAAGGAACAGGAGAAGAGAGAGGATCAGGAAAAGGAGCAGGGAGAGGAGCAGGAACAGGGAGAGAGGCAGGCAGAGGACGAGGATCAGGAAGAGGAGTAGGAGGAACAGGGAGAGGAGCAGGAAAAGGGGCAGGAGCTGGGAATTGATCAGGGAATGGATCAGGGAATGGAGCAGGGAAAGGAGCAGGGAAAGGAGCAGGGAAAGGAGCAGGGAGAAGGGCAGGGAGAAGGGCAGGGAGGGTATAGGGAGGAATGGCAGGAGCAGGGAGAGGAGCGTGGAAAGGAGTGAGGAAAGCGAGGAGAGGAGCAGGGAGAGGAGCAGGAGCAGGGAAAGGAGCAGAGAATGGAACAGGGAACGGAGCAGGAATAGGAGCTGGGAAAGGAGCAGAGAAATGAGCTGGGAATGGAGCAGGGAATGGAGCAGGGAATGGAGCAGGAGAAGAGAGAGGATCAGGAAAAGGAGCAGGAGCAGGGAGAGGAGCAGGAAAAGGAGCAGGAGCTGGGAAAAGAGCAGGGAAAGGAACTGGGAATGGAGCTGGGAAAAGAGCTGGGAATGGAAGGAGCAGGGAAAGGAGCAGGGAGAGGAGCTGGGAATGGATCAGGAATTGATTAGGGAATGGAGCAGGGAAAAGAGCTGGGAATAGATCAGGGAATAGATCTGGGAAAGGAGCAGAGAATGGAGCAGGGAAAGGAACAGGAGAAGAGAGAGGATCAGGAAAAGGGAGAGAGGCAGGCAGAGGACGAGGATCAGGAAGAGGAGTAGGAGGAACAGGGAGAGGAGCAGGGAAAGGGGCAGGAGCAGGGAAGGGAGCAGGGAATGGAACAGGGAAAAGAGCAGGGATAGGAGCAGGGAGAGGAGCAGGGAATGAATCAGGAATTGATCAGGGAATGGAGCAGCGAAAGGAGCCGGGAACTGAGCAGGGAATGGAGCAGGGAAAGGAGCAGGGATCAGGGAATGGAGCAGGATTTGATCAGGGACAGGATCAGGAATTGAGCAGGGACAGGATCGGGAATTGATCAGGGAAAGGATCAGGAACTGATCAGGGAATGGAGCAGGGAGAGGAGCAGGGATCAGGAATTGATCAGGGACAGGATCGGGAACTGATCAGGGAAGGAGCAGGGAATGGAGCAGGATGCCCAAGGCCAGAGCACATCAACCCCTCCACACCCACCTGGAGACTCCCAACATCCTTCCCACGCCCACCTCCGCCGGGATGCGCCCCCGGAGCGCCGGACATCCCTCTGGACATCCCTCTGGACATCCCTCTGGACATCCCCTGGACATCCCTCTGGACATCCCCCGGACATCCCCCGGACAGGGACGGCAATCCTGCTCCCCCGCGCCTCCCACACCCCCCACCGCCCCGGGCCCACGGCGCGCACGCAAACAGCTGGAAAACCGCTGGAAAACCCCGAGAAAACCGCTGGAGAGCGGCTCCCGAGCATCGCCCGCGGCTGCCCCGGGCTCCCCACGCCATCCCGGCCTTACCCAGCTCCTCCAGCTCGGCCGTCATGGATTTGGAGCGCAGCGTGAGCGTGGTGCTGGGCGCTCTCTTGGGCGGCGGCGGAGCTGCAAGGAACAGAGAGGGCATCTTGCACCGCTTCTCGCGGAATTTGCGCGGGGTGGCCAGGTGCAGGTGCCACTTCTTCTCCACAGCCTGGATCTCCTCGTACTCCCGGGACGAGGAGTCGCACTGCTGCAGGATCTTATTGAGGCTGCGCGTGGACGCGAACTTCTTCATGATTCCCGCCGGGAATGTGCCCGCGGCCTCCTTCGGGAATGCCGGCCCCCCCCTCAGCGCGGGGTGCGAGCCATGGCCCCGGAGAGGCGGGGGTGGCTGCCGGGGATGCCGGGAGGGATGCGGGAAAAGCGGGAATGTGTCCAGCCTGAGCTCGGGATCCTCTTCCCGCCTGGGCGCAGCCCCCGGAGCGCCTCAGCCCACCCCACCCTCCTCTTCCTCCTCCTCCTGCTGCTGCTGGCCGTGGATCCCGACCCTATGGAAGCGTCCGGCCGGGAGCTGCCCAAGGACACATGGCCCGGGATGATCCCAAAAGCTCCCGATCCCGCATTCCCTGAGCACACCCCCCCCCTCCCCGGAGCAGCGAGGATGAGTGGAAAGCTCTTCCTCTTCCTCCTCCTCCTCCTCGCTGCTCCTCGCTGACAAAGCTGGAATAACGCTCCAGGATTGCCATGGCAACGGCAGCTCCAAGGATCCCTGTGCCTGCGGCAGGGATCCAGCGGGGCGGATTCAGCCCCAGCCGGGCCCACACAGGCGCTGTCACCGGGGTGGGGGGGACACGGGAGGAGCCCCCCCCGGTCCCCCAGCGCCCCTCGGATCCCTTGGGAAAGCGGCCGCGCGGATGCGGAGGATCGGGAGGAGGGAAGCACCGGGAAGCGCCGAGGGGCAGCGGCTCACCCCGGGCTGCAGCGGCAGGAGCGGCCCGAGCGGCCCCGCCGGGGCTCCCAGCGCTGATTCCCGGCTCAGTTCCCGAGGATTATTCCCGGCTGAATTCCCGGCTGAATTCCCGAGGCTGCCAGCCGTTCCCACGGCTCGTGCCTTTGTGCCGTGACAGGATAATTGGAGCTCCTCGTGCCAGCAGCGCTCCCTCCTTCCCTCCCTTCCCTCTTCCCTCCCTTCCCTCCCCCGAGCCCCGCGTGCTGCGCTGGGAGCGGCCCCGATCCCGGCCCCCCTCATTCCCTGCTCCCATCCCCCTGCTCCAGCCCTGCTCCCATCCCCCTGACTCCATTCGCTACTCCAATCCCCCCGATTCCACTCCCTGATTCCATCCCTGATTCCATTCTCTACTCTAAACCCTGCTCCCATCCTGCTCCCATCCCCCTGATTCCACTCCCTCCTCCCATCCCCTACTCCCATTCCCCGATTCCATCCCTGATTCCACTCCAATTCCATTCTCTACTCTAAACCCTGGTCCCATCCCTGCTCCCATTCCCCCGATTCCACTCCCTGATTCCATCCCTGATTCCATTCCCTACTCCAATCCCCCTGCTCCCATCCCCCTGATTTCACTCCCTGCTCCCATCCCTGATTCCATTCTTTACTCCCATCCCCTGCTCCCATCCCTGTTTCCAGCTCCTGCTCCCATTCCTGTTTCCATCCATCCCCACTCCTGTCCTGCTGTTTCCATCCCTTGCTCCTGTCTCCTGCTCCCATCCTGCTCCCATCCCCCTGATTCCATCCCTGCTCCCATCCCCTACTCCCATTCCTTGATTCCATCCCTGATTCCACTCCAATTCCATTCTCTACTCTAAAAACCCTGCTCCCATCCCTGATTCCATCCCCCTGATTCTACTCCCTGATTCCATCCCTGATTCCATTCCCTACTCCAATCCCCCGGCTCCCATCCCCCTGCTCCCATCCCTGTTTCCATCCATCCCCTGCTCCTGTCCCTCCTGTCCTGCTGTTTCCATCCCCTGCTCCTGTCTCCTGCTCCAATCCCTCTGCTCCCACCCCAGCTTCCATTCCTGCTCCTCTCTCCTGTCCCGTGTTTCCATTCCCTGCTTCCATTCCTGCTCCTGTCCGTCCACTTCCATCCCAGCTTCCATCCCCTGCTCCCATCCCACCGTTTTCATTCCCTGCTCCCATAACTGCTCCCATCCCTCTTCTTCCATCCCTGCTCCCATTCCTGTTCCTGTCTCTCCTGTCCCTGCTCCTTTCCAATTTTCATTCCCTGCTTCCATTCTCTGCTCCTGTCCTTGCTCCCATCCCTCTGCTCCCATCCTGTTTCCATCCCCTGCTCCTGTCCCTGCTCCTGTCCTGTTTCCATCCTCTGCTTCCATTCCTGCTCCCATTCCCGCTCCCATTCCAGCTCCCATCCCTGCTCCTGTCCCTGCTCCTGTCCCTGCTCCTGTCCCTGCTCCTGTCCCTGCTCCTGTCCCTGCTCCTGTCCCTGCTCCTGTCCCTGCTCCTGTCCCTGCTCCTGTCCCTGCTCCTGTCCCTGCTCCTGTCCCTGCTCCTGTCCCTGCTCCTGTCCCTGCTCCTGTCCCTGCTCCTGTCCCTGCTCCTGTCCCTGCTCCTGTCCCTGCTCCTGTCCCTGCTCCTGTCCCTGCTCCTGTCCCTGCTCCTGTCCCTGCTCCTGTCCCTGCTCCTGTCCCTGCTCCTGTCCCTGCTCCTGTCCCTGCTCCTGTCCCTGCTCCTGTCCCTGCTCCTGTCCCTGCTCCTGTCCCTGCTCCTGTCCCTGCTCCTGTCCCTGCTCCTGTCCCTGCTCCTGTCCCTGCTCCTGTCCTGCTCCCATTCCCGCTCCCATTCCAGCTCCCCTCCCTGCTCCTATTCCAGCTCCCATCCCTGCTCCTGTCCCCTCGTTTCCATCCTCATGCTCCCATTCCCTGTTCCCAGTTTTCATCCCTCCACTTCCATCCCCTGCTCTCATCTGTCTGCTCCCATCCCTATGTTTCCATCCCCAGTTTTCCATTCCCTGCATTTCCATCCCGTTTCCATTCCCTGCTCCATCCCTGTGCTGCCATTCCCTGCTCCCATCCCCTCTCCTGCCCCTCCACTTCCATCCCGTTTCCATCTTCCTGCTCCTCTCCCTCCTGTCCCCTTTCCATCCCCGTTCCTGCCCCCTGCTCCCATTCCCTGCTCCCATTCCCTGCTCCCATCCCTCTGCTCCTGTCCCTCCACTTCCATCTCCTGTTTCCATTCCTGCTTCCATCTTCCTGCTCCTGTCCCTCCATCCCATCCTAATCCTGCTTCCCAAACTCCCATCCCCCTGATTCCAGCCTCTGCTCCCATCCTCCTCTTCCCATCTCCATAACTCCATCCCCTGCTCCCATCCCCATAATTCCATCTCCTTTTCCCATTCCCCTTTTCTCATCCCCAGAATTCCATCCTCTTTTCCCATCCAGTTTTCCCATTCCCATAATTCCACCCCCTTTTCCCACCCCTCTGCTCCCATTCCCTAGAATTCCAGTCCCAATCCCCTCAAACCCCTCCTGGCTCCTTCCTGTGCTTCCAGATGTTCCCGTCCCTCTGGACAAATCCCTGCCCTTCCCGAGCTCTTGGATCTGCTCCCAGAATCCAGAACCCATGGAATGAAATCCCAGAACATTCTGGGATCCCCCAGGACCATCCACACCCAGGAATTCCCACAGCACCTCCCTGGCTCCATCCCAGAATTCCCGGTGTTCCTTTGGGATCACCATCCTGCCCCCCAACACTCCTAGAAATTCCCAGGGTTGTTTCCCATCCCAATAATTCCCAGATGGAGCCAGAGCCTGGAGCAGCTGATGGGAATCCAGGAATTCTGGATCATGGGAATCAAAAGTGATTCCCAAATTTCTCCCTGAATTCCCAGCCCATCCCATTCCTCCCTTCCCACATCCATGAGCTCCCAAAACTCTTATTCCTTGTTTGCCACAATTCCAAAAATTCCTGATCTTGGGAATTCAAGCCATTCCCCAAAAACACCACAACTCCAGGGATTCCAGACCCTGGGAATTCAAGCAATTCCCAAAAAAACATCACAGCTCCAGGAATTCCAGACCTTGGGAATCCAAGCAATTCCCAAAAAACACCACAGCTCCACAGACGTGGTTGGGACCTTTCGGATCTTCCCTGCCCACCTCCCACATTCCCACAAATCAGCGCATCCCAGAAACTGGCACGTCCCAAAGATCAACAAGTCCCAAAAACGGGAACATCCCAAAAAAGGGGCGCATCCCAAAAACGAACACATCCCAAAAACAGTTGCATCCCAAAAGTGGGAACATCCCAAAAATCTTTGTATCCCAAACATTAATGCGTCCCAAAACCCAGTGCATTCCAGAAATCAGCACATCCCAAAAAACAGCACGCCCCAAAAATTAGCATATCCCAAAAAATGACGCATGACAAAAATGGGCACATCCCAAAAATCAGCACATCCCAAATGTCAACACATCCCAAAAAATGATGCATCACAAAAATGGGCACATCCCAATGTGGGCAAATCCCAAAATGGGGGCATCCCAAAAAATTACGCATCCCAAAAATCAACGCTTACTAAAAAATCAGCACATCCTAAAATCAGCAAATCCCAAAAATTTTCGCATTCCAAACATCAACGTGTCCCAAAACCAAGCACATCCCAAAAATGGGCACATCTCAAAAGTCAATGCATCCCAAAACAGGCAAATCCCAAAAGGGGCACATCCCAAAAATCAACGCATCCCAAAAAATCAATGCATCCCAAAAAATCAATGCATCCCAAAAATCTTCATATCCCCAAATGGGCACATCCCAAAATAAACACACCCCGATAAATCAAAACATCCCAAAAATCAGCACATCCCAAAAAATGGATATATCCCAAAAAATCTTCACATCCCAGAAGTCGGAATATCCCAAAAGAGGAACATCCCAGAAATCAATACATGCCAAAAATCAACGCATCCCAAAACATTGCACATCCCAAAATGGGCACATCCCAAAAATCTTCACATTCAAAAATGGGCACATCCCAAAATCAGCACATCCAGAACCGGTGCATCCCAAAAATGGGCACATCCCATAAAACAGCACATCCCAAAAATCTACACATCCTGAAAGTAGCGCATCCCAAAAATGGAAACATCCCAAAAGCCGGCGCATCCCGAAAACCAGCACATCCCAAAAACTGGCACATGCCAAACATCAACACTTCCCAAAAATTGGTGCATCCTGAAACTGGCACATCCCAAAAACCGACACATCCTAAAAAATGGACATATCCCAAAAATCAATGCATCCCAACATCAACGCATTCAAAAAATCAGTGCATCCTGAAATTGACGAATCCCAAAAACCAGTGTATCCCAAAAACTGGCGCATCCTGAAAACAATGGCTCATCCTGAAAGAAATGGAAGCATCCCCAAAAACCATCGCATCCCAAAAATCAGCACATCCCAACACCAACACATCCCAAAAATCAGTGCATCCTGAAGCTGGCACATCCCAAAAACTGGCACATCCCAAACATCAACACATCCCAAAAATCAGCACATCTCAAAAATTGGCACATCCCAAGTTGGCACATCCCAAAAATCAGCACATCCTGAAATTGGCGCATCCCAAAACCAGGTGTATCCCAAAGAATGGCGCATCCCAAAACCAGGTGTATCCCAAAAAATGGCACATCCCAAAAAACTGACATATCCCAAAATCATTGCATCCCAAAAATCATTGCATTCCAATGCCAACACATCCCAAAAATCGGCGCATCCAGAAATTGGCGCATCCCGAAGATTGGCTCATCCCAAAAAACAGCACATCCCAAAAAACCAGAGCTTCCTACCTGGAATTTTCCACCCCTGCCACTCCCACATCCCCTCCCGCCATTCCCTCTCTTCGCTGGCGCCACTCCAGCCCATCCTGAATCCCTGGAATCCCTGAAATCCCATAAACCAGCACATCCCAAAAGATGGCACATCCCAAACATCAACACATCCCAAAAATCAGCACATCCTGAAATCGGTGCATCCCAAAACCCGACGTATCCCAAAAATCAGCACATCCCAAAAATTGGCACATCCTGAAGTTGGCACATCCCAAAAAACGGCTCATCCCAAAAACCAGCACATCCTGAAATTGGCGCATCTCAAAAACCAGCATCCCAAAAATCAACACATCCCAAAAACTGGCACATCCTAAAAAAGGGACACATCCCAAAAATCACTGCATCCCAAAAACTGGCACATCCCAAACACCAACACATCCCAAAAATTGGCACATCCCGAAACTGGCGCATCCCAAAACCAGTCACATCCCAAAAATCAGCGCATCCCAAAAACCGGCACGTCCCAACCTTCCCACCCTGGAATTTTCCACCCCTGCCCCTCCCTCTCCTCACTGGGGCCGCTCCGGCCCATCCCGAGCTCCCGGAATCGCGGAATTCCCGGGAACTGCGGCTCACCCTTTTTGCGGGATCCCTCCTCGGAGTCGGGCTTGCGGCTGACGGACACGACTTTCATCAGGAGGTGATTCCCACCCTGCCGGATCAGCGCCACCACCTGCTTGTGCCCCACCTTCACCACGTTCACTCCATTCACCTGCATTCCCAAAAAAAAAAAAAATAAACATGGATCAGAATACCCAGTGGGGGAAAAAAAAATACTGAAGTAGTCCGCAAAAATCCCATTTTTCCTGGGATTTTCCCCCTGGCTTTTCCCATCTTTTTGGGGCAGTTGGGAGTCACCGCCCAGTGATGGTGAGGAGGAGATGGGAATTGCCAATTCCTGCTGGGAGATTCCCAAAAAAATGGGGTTTTCCTGGGTTTTTTGGAGCGTCAGTCATCGAATGTTCAGAATGGAGAGAATTCCCTGGAAAACCATTCCATGGATTGCAGTAAATCCCATGGGAACTTGCTCATGGAAAGGGGTCAACTTGGGGAGGGAGGAAAGATCCAAGCCAGGAACCTCGGGAGGGTTTTGCGATCTGGATAATCCTGGATAATCCCAGATAATCCCAAAGTCTGTGGAATGGCAATCCCTGGATTTCTGCTCTTTGCTCTTGGTGAAGGTTCATCCCAAGATTCCTGGAGTTCTTCCCAATGCTCCGTGTTTATCCCATGGATCCATCCCGAGGGACGGCCCTGAGCCCATTCCGGCTCCTTTGCTCTGGGAAACGTCGGATCTGCCAACGATCCCACACAATGATTCCTGGGAATCCAAAGGATGAACCTTCATCAAGAGTAAAGAGCAGAAATCCAGGGATTGCCATTCCACAGAATTTGGGATTATCCAGGACTCTCCAGATCCCAAAATCCTGCCAAGGATCCCGGCTTGGACCTTTCTCCCCTCTCCAAGACCACCCCATTCCATGAGCAAGTTCCCATGGGATTTACTGCAATCCATGGAATGGTTTTCCAGGGAATTCTCTCCATGTACACCCAGCTCCTTCCAAACTGCTGGAATTCCACACCCACATTCCAGAGCCAGGAATTTCTGGATCCTCACCCCTTTTCCCACCTCCTGAATCATTCCCAGCTCCCATCCCAATCCCGCTGGATCCATCTGCCATCCGGGATCCACTTGGGAATTTCCAGGAGCTCAGGAATTTCGTCCTTCCAGGATCTGCCACATCCAACCAAAAAAATCTGGGAGAAATCCAGAAATTTATGGGAGAATTCCCTTTTCCCAAGGGAATTCCCAAGCCTGGAACCTCCATTCCCTGCCAGGCAGGGTTCGCTGGAATGGGAAATTCCCGAGGTTCTCCCGTCAGCATTTCCCAGGTTGGGAATGAAATCCTGGAATCCAGGAATCCCAGAGGCTGGGAAATCCCACTGGGAACATTCCCAGCACTGCCATTCCCACCCATGATCCATGGATTTGAAATCCCTTGGGAATGGTGATTCCCACTGCCCCGCTCAGCCCATTCCAATCCTTCCCAACCTTTTCCATGAAGGATTTTTCCCAAATATCCCATTCCTGACTCAGCTTGAGGCCGTTCCCTCTCATCCTGTCCTTTTTCCCTGGGATCAGATCCTGATTCCCACCTGGATCCAGCCAGGGAATTGCTGGGAATTGTCTCCCTCTCCTAATTGTCTTTATTTCCACCTGAATCCCACACTCTTGAAAGAATTCCAACAAAATCCTCGGGATAACCTGAGCCTGACCTCCACCTCCACTGAATTCCTTGGGATTTCAATCCCGGAATTCCCTGTGCTCCCAGTTCATCCCTGCCTTGATTTCCCTCAATTCCCCCACTCCGGAAAACTGGGAGAGCCCAACGCTCATCCCGAGCCTCCGGAATTCCAGGGCTAAGCAGCATTCCCAGACCCCCCCTCCCGCAGATCTCCGGGATCCGCTCTCCCAGCCCGGTAATTTGGGAATGGGTATTTTTAGGAATTCCTCTCTCCTTGGTTACTGGGAAACTTTGCGTTCCGAGACATCTCCTGGAGAAATCCGAGCTCCGCATTCGTCCCCAACTCGGAGCAGAACATTCCAGCTTTTTTTCCCCGCACCAGAATATCCCAAATTTTGAGCATTTCCATAAAAAAAATGGAGCTGGATCAGCCTCTTCCCTCTTTCCCCCCCCCCCTCCAGCTCCCGATGCTCCCAAATTCCCAATGATCCGAAATCCCGGCCTTTGATATTTCCTCGGATCCTTTTTATCAACCTCCCACGCTCCGGAGCCGGAATTATCCGCATTTCCTGCTTTTTTTGCTTCCTGACCTTTCCAGCAGGGAGAGGATCTGGGAATGTTTCAGCGCTCCCTCATTCCCACAATTCCAGAGGTGGAATTTTTGGTCCCAGAGGATTTCTTCCCCCCACCCTGGATTTTTGGGGTCCATGTCCTTCAAAAAACTCTGGAATTTTGTTCACTGGGATCATGGAATGGTTGGGATTGGATTGTCCCATTCCCACCACTGCCCAGAGCAGGATTTTTCCTCATTCTCAAAGAAAATCATGGAATTGTGGAGGTTGGAAAAGCCCTCAGAGGCCGGAAAAACCCACATTCCCAAATCCAGGTTTTTTGAACATTCCCAAGGATTTGACTCCACCACTGCTCCTTCCAAAGCTTCCCAACCATTTCCATGGAGCAACATTCCCAAATATCCCATCCAAACCTCCCCAGGGAATGCTGGGATCCAACCTGGAGCCGTCATTCCAGTTTTCCTTAAAAAAACCCTCAGGATAACAACACAATCCAGCCCTTAATTCTGGAAATATCCACGGATTTCCAGCCATGTCTGTATCCCAGATTCTGGGAATTCCCACCCGGATCCTCAAGGAATCATGGAATTCTCATGGAAGTGGTCAAAGTTCTCTGCTTCCAAGGGCCCTCATGGAAAAAAATCCAGGATTTTAAACCTCCCAGGATGGGGAAGAGACAAAAGGCTGGAAATCCTGGATTTTCCTCTGGAATTCCGGTGGGATTTTCCCAATCCCACCCCCGGGGAGGTCCGATCTTGGCAATTCCCCAGCCTGGCACTGGGAATTTCCTCATGGAGCCATTCCCGGAATGTGGTTCATGGGATCATGGAGTTGTTGGAGGTTGGAAAAGCCCTCGGAGATCAAATCCCAGAATTCCCAGCTCTGCCAGAGCCACCCTGGATCCAGGTCCTCCAAACCCACTGGGATTTGATTCCCTTCAGGAGGAATTTTCCCAATTTTCAGCCTAAACTGTGGCTGTTCCAGAGGCTGCTCCGGTTTTTTCGGGAGGAATTCCGACTGGAATTCAGGGCTGGAACTGGCACCGAGGGCAGCTCGGGAGAGCTCCGGGAGTGACCCAATTCCCAAAGGGAATGTGGGGACTCTGGATCCCTCCGGATCCACACCTGGAGAATTCCAGGAACTCCTGATCCACACCTGGAGGACTCTGGATCCTCCTGACCTGGAAAACTTCTGGAAGCTCCTGATCCACATGCTGGGATGCTGGATCCCTCTGGATCCACACCTGGAAAACTCCTGAAAGCTCCAACACCTGGAGGACTCTGGGTCCCTCTGGATCCACACCTGGAGAATTCCAGACCCTCCTGATCCCAGCCTGGAGAGCTCCTGGCACTTCCATCACCCGGAGGACTCTGGATCCCTCTGGATCCACACCTGGAGGACTTCTGGAAGTTTGGAATCCGCAGGAATTTCCCCATGGAAAGGGGGTCAGGCCTTGGCCGGGGCTGCCCAGGGAGGTTTGCAGTGCCCATCCCTGGAGGTGTCCCAGGAATTCCTGGAATTCCACTCAGTGCTCAGGGCTGGGGACCAGGCCCAGCTTGGACTTGGTGCCCTTGGAATTCTTTTCCAAGCCCAGGGATCCTGGGATTCTGAGGAGAAGCACACAGGAACAGCTCCAGGATTTTGGGAAGCCTCTCCCGGGCACGGGACATTCCCGGTGTCACAGTGGCCCCAAAAGGAAGTTCAGGGAATATGCGAGGCTGGAGCTGGGAAATTATCCATGGAAAAGGCGGAGAGGAGGAAAATCCGGAAATTGGATTCCAAGGACAAAATGAGCTCCCAGTGCTTGGAGGGAAAGGGACAATTCCCAGTGGGGAAGAAAGAGCACAGGGAATTCCCAAAACAGCTCCTGAATCCACTGGAACGAATCCAGAGGAGGCCCTGGATCTGCTCCAAGGATGGAGCCCCTCTGGAGCCAGGCTAGGAAAACCTTCCGGATCCACATCCAAAGAACCTCTGGAAATTCCACGACCTGGAGGACTCCATATCCTCCTGACCCATACCTGGGAGAATTCCAAAACCCCTGGGCAATTCCCAAAATTCCCGGGGAAGGAGTGGAATTCCAGGAGGAGCTCACCTCGATCAGAAAGTCCCCCGTGCGCAATCCCGCTCTCCAGGCGACTCCTTCCACATCCACGGATTCCAGGTACTGCAGCGCTGGGAATGCCGGCGTGGGCGTGAACTCCTCAATCGGGGTCTCGGCTGGAAAACACAACGGGAAAGGGAATTGAGGGATTTCCAAGGAAATTCCATAAGGGAAGGCTCAGCCTGTCCACAGCATTCCTAAAATCATGGAATTACGGAGCTGGAAAAGCCTCAGAGCGCAACCGTTCCCAGCAGTGCCAAGGCCACCACTGATCCGTGTCCCCGAGTGCCACATCCATGGATTCATGGATTTGAATCCCACCCCTTGTCCTGTCCCTGTTCCCACCTCAGTGATGGAATCAAAGGTGGAGCCAGTATTGGAATCAATGATGGAATCAGTCATGGAAATAATGAAGGAATCCAAGATGGAATAAATAATGGAACTAACAATGGAATCAATGATGGAATCAATCATGGAAATAATGAAGGAATCCAAGATGGAATCAATAATGGAACTAACAATGGAATCCAAGATGGAATCGATGAAGGAATCGATGAAAGAATCAATGAAAGAATCCAAGATGCAATCCATAATGGAACTAATGATGGAATCAATAATGGAACTAATAATGGAATCAATGAAGGAATCAATAAAGGAACCAAAGAAGGAATCAATGATGGAATCCAAGATGGAATAAGTAATGGACACAGTCACATAACTAATAATGGAATCAATGATGGAATCCAAAATGGAATCCAAGATGGAGCCAATAATAGACTCAGTCATGGAATCAATGATGGAGTCATGGAGTCATTTGGGTTGGAAAATTCCTTGGAGAATGTAAAATCCAACCGTTCCCAGCACTGCCAAGGCCACCCCCCATCCCTGTCCCCAAGTGCCACATCCGCATGGATTTGAATCCCACCGGGAATGGGGATTCCACCCCTGTGCCAGGGCTAGAAAAACCTTTCCAGGTTTTTTCCTGGAAAGGAATTTTCCCATTATCCAACCTGGAGATGCCCTGGCACAGCCTGAGGTTGTGTCCTCTTATCCTGTCCCTGTTCCCACCTCAGTGATGGAATCCATGATGGAATCAATGATGGAGATAATGAAGGAATCCAAGAAGGAATCCAAGATGGAATCAATAATGGAACTAATAATGGAATCAATGATGGAATCCAAGATGGAATCCAACCTGAGGAAAATCCATCCAATCAATCCTTCCTGCCCTCCTTATCCCAAGTTTTCCCTTCTCCCTCTCACTTCCAGCTGAGTCCTTCCCCTGGAGTCGCGGGGTCTCTTCATTCCCAAATCCGCCTGGAGCGGATCAGAAGCCGGGAGAAATTCTCATCCCTACAAATTATCCCAATAAATGGATTGTTAGGAGGGAACGGAGCCCAGATTCCCGAGGTGACCCCGGTGGCCTCTCCTTTGACCTCCTTCCAGCAACATTCCCAACGTTCCCCTCCCTTCCCGCCAAATCCAGGCCTCTGATCCCACCCAGATCCAAGACTTTTCCTCCTCTCTCCGTTTTTTCTCCCGCATTTTAGGCGGGATTTTTCCACTCCGGCACGGATCACACCCAGGGAACCTTTCCCTGCCACCCCTCCATGTGCTGAAGCTTCTCAGCTGCTTCCCACCAACGGCTTTCCACGATTTCTGCCTTTCCTGGGAGAAGTGGCAAACGCTTGACAGCTCATCCCTATTTTTAGACATTCCGACGGAACGTCGGAGCGCTCTCCAAATCCTCCAGGATCCTTCCAGGATTCCATCTCCTGCTATCCCAGGCTGCTCCAAGTGTCCGACCTGGCCTTGGACACTTCCAGGGATCCAGGGGCAGCCATGGATTCTCTGGGATAAATTTCACGGAGCGAATCCCACATTCCCATGGATCCCATCGCATCCCATGCCCATCCATCCCCTGAGTTATCCATGTGTCATTCCAGGCACTTTTCCAGCTTTTTCCGTGGGCTGGGAGCCACCAGCCCACGGCGGGTGCACGTCGTGATCCAGGATTTGTGAAGCGCTGCCGGAGCCTGAAGGATTTGGCAAACGGGAAAATGCTCAGGAACAGGGAATTGTCTCCCTGCGGAGTAATTCTGGGAGCAGAATTTTATCCAGGATGGGTCAAAGGGACACAGGGACAATTCTCACGATCCCAGATTTCTCCAACCTTTCCTTGGAAACTCCAGGGATGCAGGGGCAGCCCCAGCTGCTCTGGCAATTCCAGCCCAGCCAGGAATTCCTCATGGCCAAGATCCCATCCATGGCTGCCCTCTGGCACTGGGAGCCATTCCCTGTGTCCTGTCCATCCCTTGTCCCCAGTCCCTCTGCAGCTCTCCTGCAGCCCCTTCAGGCCCTGGAATGTGCTGGAAGCTCTCCCTGGATCCTTCCCTTCTCCAGGAGAACACTCCCAGTTTTCCAGAGGGAAGCTGATCCAATCCTCTGGACTTGCTCCAGAATTTCCAGGTCCTCCTGGTGTCGGGAGCACTGGAGCTCCCCCTGGAATGGTTTGGGTGGGAAGGGACCCAAATCCCACCGAATTCCAACCCTTGGACACTTCCCACTATCTCGGGCTGCCCCAAGCCCTGTCCTGGCCTTGGGAATTTTTATCCCAGGTTTTCCAACCCCTGGGGATGGAGAAGGAAGCAGAGATGGACATCCTTGCTCCCAGCAAATCCTGGGAATCTTGATCCATCTCTCCCAGCTCAGACACCCCCAAAACCAGTTTGGAACCAAACCATCTCAACCCAATCCAGGGAATGCTCCAGTGGCGGAAATCATGGAAAATCCATCCCTAAGTGCCCTCCCAGGGAGGAAATCCAATGGGAAGAGTCTCCCATCCAATGGGAGAACCAAACCAAAAAACTGGGAATTAAATCCAGGAAGTTCCCACTGGGAATGAGGGGAATTCCCTGACCAGGAGGTTCAACCTTTCCCACCAAAACTCCGGACTCAAAATTCCGGGAAGCGCCATTGGAACCCCTGATTGGACGCCCTGATTGGGGAATTGGGAATTCCTGGGTTTAAATTCCCACAATTCCCAGCTGGAATTCCAGAGCCAGCTGCGGGAGAAGCCCTGGCAGAGCTGGGTCACCAGGAAGGATTGGGAGCACCAAAATCCATCCTGAAGGGACAAAATCCATCCGGGAGGGAAGCAAATCCCAACCTGGGGACACCAAATCCCATTCAGGAGGACAAAATTCCATCCTGGAAGCACTAAATCCCATCCTGGGGACACCAAATCCATCTTGGAGAACCAAATCCCATCCTGGGATTGGGAAATGTCAAACTCCATCCTGAGGGACCAAGTCCCATCCTGAGGAACCAAAATCCATCCTGAGAAACCAAATCCCATCCTGGAGGACAAAATCCCATCCTGGAGGCACCAATTCCCATCCTGATCATCCCTGGAGTGGTCAGGCAGCTGGAGCAGATCCCCATCCCACGGATCCCAGGAAGTTCCAAACCCAGGGAATTCCCAAAGGATCCTCCAGTCCTCAGCGAATCCCAGCAAGCTCCGAGCTCATGGAATTCCCAAAGGATCCATTGATTCCACAGATCCTGGCACGTTCTGAGCTCATGGAATTCCCACCTGGAATATCCAACCCCCAAGCCCAGCTCGAGGCCGTTCCCTCTCCTCCTTTCCCTTGGGATTGGCTCCTTCAGAAGATCCACAGGAAGGAATAATCTTGGGAATTTTGGGAATGACCCGGTTCTCTCCAGGCAAACCGAGGAAAGCTCATCCCATCCAGCAAAAACTTGGATTTGTTCCCTTAATTTGGATTTTAGGACACATCCCTGTTATCCCTAAAATCATGGAATGGGTTGGGTGTGAAGGGCCCTCAAAGCTCATCCCATTCCAGGATGGAATTCCATGATCCTAGGCTGCTCCAACCTGGCCCTGGGCAATTCCAGGGATCCAGGGAGAGTCACAGATTCCCTGGGAATTCCCAAGGAATTGGATGTGGGGCAAGCCCAGCTCTGAGAGCTGCAGGGACCGGGATAAATGGGAATAACTCAGATCCCTGGGATGGAACGGGATGGGGTGTTCCCCTTGGGAACTGGGGAGTGCCGGAGCTGGGATGGGCTGGGAAGGACCCCAGGGTGGGCAGAGCCTTTTCCCTGGAAGTGCTCCCATGGAATGGGAAAAATTCCAGGGAGGAATTTGCAGCAGGAAGAGCAAATTCCTTTGAGGATCATCCCAAAATCCGCCTCCCTCCTTCTGCCCGGGATGAAGCTCCAGCCCTGCCTTTTCCAGCCCCTTTTCCCTCTTTTCCCCACAGGCCTGGAGTGGTTTTCCAGGAAAATCCAAAGGGAGCAGTGGTGACATGGATGGCGCAAATTCCCAATCTAAAATCCATGGAATCCCAGCCCAGAATCCATGGAATAGCGGGATGAGGGGCTGGGAAATGGGGAGGATTCCAAGCCACTTCCCTAACTTGGGAATACTGCTTCAGAGGGAGCATTCCCAGATTGTGGATCTTCCATGCCAGGACCCTTCTGCATCTGTGCGCTTCCTGTGTCCCACAGAATTCCCAAATCCCACAGAGCCACACCCCTGCTCCGAGCGCTTCCCTCAGCCTCGGAACACGAAGGGAAACCGGGAATGGCAGGAGAGTCAGGAAGGCAAAAAAGAAAAAAGGGGAAAAAACCAGGGAAGTGGATTAAATTTCCCAGTTTTCCCGACACAAAAACTGTGGGATTGATCCTGGAAAAAAACCCCATGGATGCCATTTTGGGCCCCGAAGTTTCACTTGGTGCTCCAGGGATGGAAAGTCCATAGGGAATGGGAGAAAAATTCCCACTGGGATGCAAACCTTGGGAGAAAGGACAGAAGGCCATAAATCCAGGAGTTCTCCTGGAAAATCCCATTCCAGGCTGGATCTGCAGCTCTTCCCAGCTTTCCTCCCACGTGGAAAACGGCTCCGCTGTCCCTCTGCTCCTGGGAATGCCGGGGGTGGAGAGGTCTCTCCATCCCGAGCTTCTCCCGCCTCCTCTTCCCTAAATCCACAGGAACATTCCCAAGTCTCCAAGGCATTCTTTTTTTTTTTTTTTTTTGCAGCAAAAATGTGGAATTCTGGCCAAAGGAGCCATGGGAAACTCCCAGGAAAGATCCTGGACCTGGGAGAACCCCGGGATGAGCCGGGAATGAGCTCCGGGGTGGGAGCAGCAGGAAAAGCTCTCCCGGTTTTCCCCAGGGATCCCAAAAGCCCCCAGCTCTCCCCGGCCAAAATCCAGGGAAAAGCTCCAAGCACTCCAACCCCAAAAAGCCACGGATGGAGCTGGGAAGGGGCTGTTCATTCCCTCAGGGAAAAGGAGTGAAAATTCCCAAAAATTCCAAGCAGCACCCACACCAAAACCCCCAGAAAGTGGGAAAGGAGAAGAGGGAATGAGGGAAGGAAATCCCTTTGGAGCCCCCCAGGATTGTTGGGAATGGGGCTCTGGAGCTGGGCAGGGGCCGTTCATCCCTCCGGGAAGCAAAGTGACAATTCCCAAAAATTCCAAGCAGCATCCACAGAAAACCTCCCAAAAATTCCGAGATAGCCACGATGGCAGCAGGACACTGCACTGAACCGGAGAAATCCGGGGAGGAAAATCCCTTTGGAGCCCCCCCGGATAACCGGGAATGAGAATCCCGAGCTGTTCATTCCCTGGGGGAAAAGAAGTGAAAATTCCCAAAAATTCCAAGGCACCACCAGCACCAAAACCCACAAAATTCCGAGAGAGTCACGATAGCACCAGGACATGGCACAGAACCGGAGAGAACCGGAGAAATCCAGTGAGGAAAATCCCCCTGGAGCCCCCCAGGATTACTGGGAATGAGGATCCTGAGCTGTTCATCCCTCAGGGAAAAGCAGTGAAAATTCCCAAAAATTCCAAGGCACCACCAGCACCAAACCCCCCCAAAACCCCAAACCCACAACCCCAGACCACGACACCGAATGAGCCAGGGAGGAAAATCCCTTTGGAGCCTGGGAATGAGAATCCCAGGAATGAGAATCCTGAGCCGTTCATCCCTCAGGGAAAAGCAGCGACAATTCCCAAAAATTCCAAGCCACCACGAGCAGCACCAGCCCAAAATTCCGAGAGAGCCACGATGGCAGCAGGACACGGCACTGAGCCAGAGAAATCCAGGGAGGAAAATCCCCTTGGAGCTCCCCAGGATTGCTGGGAATGGGGCTCCGGAGCCGTTCATTCTCCCAGGGAAAAGGAGAAAAAATTCCCCAAAAATTCCAAGCCGCCACGAGCAGCACCAGCACCAAAACCCCCAAAATTCCGAGAGAGCCACGATGGCAGCAGGACACGGCACAGAACCGGAGAAATCCGGGGAGAAAAATCCCCTTGGAGCCCCCCAGGATTACTGGGAATGAGGATCCCGAGCCGAGCAAGGGTTGTTCATTCCCTGAGGGAAAATGAGTGAAAATTCCCAAAAATTCCAAGGCACCACCAGCACCAAACCTCCCCAAAACCCCAAACCCACAGCCCCAGACCGCAACACCGAATGAGCCAGGGAGGAAAATCCCTTTGGAGCCTGGGAATGAGAATCCCGGGAATGAGAACCCTGAGCCCTTTCATTCTCCAAGGGAAAAGCAGCGACAATTCCCAAAAATTCCAAGCCAGCACCAGCACCAGAAGCCCCAAAATTCCAAGAGAACCACGATGGCAGCAGGACATGGCATTGAACCGGAGACATCCAGGGAGGAAAATCCCCTTGGAGCCCCCCAGGATTGCTGGGAATGGGGCTCCGGAGCCGAGCAGGGGCTGTTCATTCCCTCATTCAGGGAAGCGAACTGAAGATTCCCAAAAATTCCAAGGCACCACGAGCAGCACCAGCAGCAAAACCCCCAGAACTCCCAACCCACAACCCCAGACCACGACCCCGAAGCGAGCCAGGGAAGAAAATCCCTTTGGAGCCCCGCAGGATTAGCGGGAATGAGAACCCTGAACCATTCATTCCCGGAGGGAAACGGAGTGAAAATTCCCAAAAATTCCAAGGCACCACCAGCGCCAAAACCCCCCAAACCCCACTCCACGCCATCACCCCAACCCGATCCCCCCAGCCCTCTCCCCAACGCTGCACAACCACGCCGCTTCCCGGGGGAGAAAAAAACCGTAAAAAACCCCGGAAAAAAAAAAACCGGGGAAAAAAAAAAAAATTCCTAGGAAAAACGGCTGGAAAAGCGGATCCGGGCTTACCTTTGGCCCCGCGCAGGACGAAGCCGAAGCCCTCATGCTCCCGCTTCTGCAGCACGGCCGTCTTCTCCTCGATGATGTAGTCACTGGGCAGGAAAGAGCACAAGAGAATGATGCCAGGGTTAGAGCGCAGCACCATCGCTGCCAGCGCCGTGGCCTCTGTCACCAGCCGGGGGTGGCCCTGTCACCAGCCGGGGGTGGCCTTTGTCACCAGCCAGGGGTGGCCTTTGTCACTCTTCGCATCCAGCCTTTCATCTCCGCAGGGATCGTTGCTTCCCCTCCCTTTCTTTCTCTTTCTTTCTTTCTTTCTCGCTCTTTTTTTTTTTTTTTTTTCGCCCTGGATTTTTTTTTTTTTTTTTCCCCTGGTTTTTTTTTTCCTGGTTTTTTTTTTTTCTTTTCTCTCCCCGGATTTTTTTTTTTTTGCGCCCAAAGTCACACCAAAAAGACGGAAGCGACTTTTGCCTCGGCGTGGAGGAGGAGGAGGAAAAGGAGGAAAAGGAGGAGGAGGGAATTAAATAAAAAAAGAAATCGTGGATGTCCCTGCTGCCCACCGGGCCCCTCGCAGTCACCTGCAGAGGAATGCAGGGATACGGAGCCCTGGCAGGAATGCAGGGATACGGAGCCCACGCAGGAATTTCGGGAATTTCGGGATCCGGAGCTTTGCCCGTTAAACGCGGAGCCCCATCGGGAATCGTCTCTTCCCGCACTTGCCGAGCGCGTCCCCCGCGGGAATAAAAACCGGGATTCTTGGATGGAAGCGGCGCTGGCCGGGCAGGAGCGGGGCAGAGTTTAAATCCTCATCCCGGCGGATTTGATCCCAAAATTCCCCCCCTCGGGCGTTGCTAAGTGACGGACTGCCGGGAGCGGGGGGGGAAGAGCATCCTTGGGAAAAGCCGGGAATGATCCAGCGGCGGATGGAGGGAGGGAGGGAGGGGAGCCCCCTCCCCAAAGGGGCTCTAGGAGCGGCGGGAGGGGGAGGCGGGCGCAGGTCCCTCCCAGCGGAGCCGCAGGGCTGACATCAGAGCTGGGATAATCCGGGAGCGCCGGGAAGGAGCTTGGGAAGGAGCCGGGAAGTGGGAGCCAGAGCGGGAGGGGAGAGGAGGCAGCGAGGGGAGGGATGGGAACAATGGGAGGGATGCGGAGGGATGGAGGGATGGAGAAGGTTTGGGAATACTGGAGAGGGATGGGGAGGGATGGGAACAATGGGAGTGACGGAGAGGGGTGGGGAGGGATGGAGAAGGTTTGGGAATATTGGAGAGGGGTGGGGAGGGATGGAGAAGGTTTGGGAATATTGAAGAGGGGTGGGGAGGGATGGAGAAGGTTTGGGAATATTGGAGAGGGGTGGGGAGGGATGGAGAAGGTTTGGGAATGTTGGAGAGGGGTGGGAAGGAATGGGAACAATGAGAATGATTGGGAGAGATGGGAACAATGGGAGGGATGGAGAGGGATGGGGAGGGATGAGGAGGGATGGAAGCGGCTTGGGAATACTGGAGAGGGATGGGGAGGGATAGGAACAATGGGAGGGATGGGGAAGGGGGATGGAAAAGGATTGGGAATATTGGAGAGGGATAAGGAGGGATGGGGAGGGATGAGGAGGGCGGGGAGGGATGGAGAGATGGGAACGGATGGGAACAATGGGAGGGATGTTGGGGAATGATTGGGAATATTGGAAAGGGATGGGGAGGGATGGGAACAATGGGAGGGATGAGGAGGGATGGAGAGATGGGGAGTGATCTGGAATATTGGAGAGGGATAAGGAGGGATGGGGAGGGATGAGGAGGGTTGGGAGGGATGGAGAGATGGGAACAGATGGGAGGGATGGGAATGTTGGGGGATGGTTTGGAATATTGGAAAGGGATGGGGAGGGATTGGGAGGGATGGGAACAATGGGAAGGATGAGGAGGGATGGAGAGATGGAGAAGGATTGGGAATACTGGAGAGGGATGGGAGAGATGGGAAGGGATGGAAAAGGATTGGGAATATTGGAGCGGGATGGGGAACAATGGGAGGGATGGGAGATGAGGAGTGTTGGGAAGGGATGGGAAGAGACGGAAGCTACAGGGAACAATGGGAATGATGGGAATGATGGGGAGGGATGGGAGGGATGAGGAATGTTGGGAAGGGATGGGGAGAGATGGAAGCGACCGGGAACCATGGGAGCGATGGGGACGGATGGGAGTGACTGGGAAAAATGGGAATGCTGGAGAGGGATGGGGAATTATTGGGAATTATTGGGAATATTGGAGAGGGATGGGAGCGATGGGGAGGGATGGGAAGAATGGGAATGTTGGGGAGGTGTTGGGAGAGACGGGAGAGGGATGGTCAGTGGGAGTGCTGGGAATGCTGGGAAGTGGTGGGGAATGTTGGGAGTGATGGGAATGATGGAAACAATGGGAGTGATGGGAAGCAATGGGAAGAGACTGGGAACAATGGGAATGATGGGAATGACAGGGAACAACGGGAATGATGGGAAAAATAGGAATGACAGGAGGAGCTGGAAAACAATGGGAAGAGTTGGGAAGCGATGGGAAGAGAAAGGGAACAATGGGAATGACGGGGAGCGATGGGAAGAGATGGAAAATCATGGGAATGGTGGGAAGGGATTGATGGGAGGGGTGGGGAGCACTGGAACAGCTGGAATTGGCATCAGGAATTCCCCATGGATCCATTCCCAAGGCACAGGAAGGGACTGGAATTTCACTGGGGAATGAGGGGCGGGGCTGGGCCTCGCCAGCTGCTCTGGAGGGAAAACCTCGGATCACTGGGAATACCGGGAGGGAATGGATCCCTGCTGGGAAAACCTTGGGTTTCCTGGATCACTGGGAGGGAATGGATTCCTGCCAGGAACACTTTGGGAATCTATTCCATAGGGAGATAATTCCTAATCCCGGAGTGTTTTCCCATTTGCCAAATCCTTCCGGCTCCAGCGGTGCTTCCCAAATCCTGGAATCACAACGTGCACCCGCTGTGGGCTGGTGGCTCCCTGCTCTTGGAATGGTGAGATGAGATTCATGGAATCACGGAAAAAGCTGGGAACACTCCGGGCTGGAGCAGCGTCATTCCATGGAAACAGGAATGTGGAGGGAGGGAAGAAAAACTCTTCCTGGAAAGGTTTCTCTGGAATCCCACTGGGAGCATTCCCATGTCTCTGGAATTGTCCGTGGGCAGCGGCTTTTGGGATCAGTTCCCGCTTTCAGGGAGTGTCAGGAATTCTGGGAATCTTGGAATGGTTTGGGTGGGAAGGGACTTCAAGCTTCTGGAATTCCATCCCATTCCATGATCCCAGGCTGCTCCAACCCGGCCTTGGAAGCTTCCAGGGATCCAAGGGAATCCATAATCCCATTCCTCAGACAAAACAGGTTGGAAAAGTCTCAATTCCATGGAAAACTGGGAATTCTGGCCCGAGGACACTGGAGGGGCTCAGTGGAGCTGCTTTTCCCATTCCATGGGAAAGAGAGCAGGGCTAGATGGGATTTGGGAAGGAATTCCTGGCTGGAAGGTGGGGAGGGGCTGGGGTGGAATTCCAAGGGTCTGGAATTGGAATTGGACTGGATTTCAGCTCCATTCCCACCCAAACCATTCCAGGACTCTGCCATGGAATTTCCATCTCAGCAGTGCATTCCCAGCCCTGGAGGTGTCCAGGGAATTCCTGGAATTCCAGCTCTGGGTTAGGATGGGGCCCAGCTCGGCCTCGCTGACCTCGGAGGGCTTTTCCCACCTGAGGAATTCCATGGATTTCGGGATTTCTCCAGCAGCTTCAGCCGAACTCTATTTTTCCTTGAGGAATCCAAAAAATTCCCAGGGGAGTGGAATCCCTCTCCAGCCACTCCAACATTCCAGCATTTTCCTGGAAGCTTGGACACCTTCCAGTGGTTTTCCCATGGGAATAACCGAGCGGATCCACGAAAACTGATTTTACTTCCTGATTTCCCTCTTTTCTTTTAGAATCCCAGGATCTGGGTTGGAAAAGGGGTTCGGGATCATTCCATGGGCAGGGACAATTCCCGCTATCCCAGGTTGCTCAAGGTTTTTTTCCAACCGGCCTGGAATTCCTCCAGGTGTCTCCTGGGAGGCTTTTCCGGCTGCTCCCCAAACTTTGGGAATGTGGGCGGAGCGTTACCTCAGCGGGATCGGCGTCACCGGGAATGTGGGCGGGATCCAGGTGTGGGATCCGAGCCCGGAGCCGTCACCAGAGCCGCGGGAAGCGTGGGAGCCGGGATGAATCACGGCTCCATTGATTCCCGCAGATTCCATGGATTCTAAAAGGAGCTGGAATTGCCGGGGGTGGTGCTGAGACCGACGCCCACCTTTAACTCCTGGCGTTCCGTAGGGACGGAGAATTCCAGGGATTCCAGCTCCTATTCCAGGTTTTCCGCTCAGCCTTGGGCACCAAAGGGTGGGAAGGTGGTGGCCTCTCCAGGAATTCCTTTTCCAATCCTTTTCCATGGGTGTTCCGTAGTTTTGCCTAATCCAAACCTGACCTTTAACTCCCAGAATTCCACAGGGACAGGGAAAATTCCAGGTCCCATTCCAGGGATTCCAGCTCCTATTCCAGGTTTTCCACTTGGCCTCGGGCACCAAAGGAGAGGAGGGTGGTGGCCTCTCCAGGAATTCCTTTTCCAATCTTTTTCCATGTTTTTTTTTTTCCATAGTTCTCCTTGATCCAATGCCCACCTTTAACTCCCAGAATTCCACAGGGACAGGGAAAATTCCAGTTCCCATTCCGAATCCTATTCCAGCTCCCATTCTGGGTCCTATTCCTGATCCCATTCCAGCTCCTATTCCAGGCCCATTCCAGGTCTCATTCCAGGTTTTCTGCTCAGCTGTGGGCACCAAAGGGTGGGATGGTGGTGGCCTCTCCAGGAATTCCTTTTCCAGTCCTTTTCCCAATATTTTTCCATGTGTTTTCCATAGTTTTGCCTGATCCAAACCTGACCTTTAACTCCTGGCATTCCACAGGGACAATTCCAGGTTCTATTCCCAGGAAAATTCCAGGTCCCATTCCCAGTCCCATTCCCAGTACTATTCCAACTCCCATTCCCAATCCCATTCCTGATCCCATTCCAGCTCCCATTCCAGGTTTTCTGCTCAACCTTGGGCACTAAAGGGTGGGATGGTGGTGGCCTCTCCAGGAATTCCTTTTCCAAGCCTTTTCCATGGGTTTTCCATAGTTTTGTCTGATCCAAAGCCCACCTTTAATTCCTGGTGTTCCACAGGGACAGGGAGAATTCCAGATCCCCTTCCAGGTCCCATTCCTGATCTCATTCCAGGTGGAATTCCAATGGAAACTCAGCCCCTTTGGATGGGGAAAATTCAAGCTTTGGAAACACGGGAAGGAATTCCCAGATTTCCAGAGGGATGGGAGGAGAGGCAACAACACCAAGGAAATCTCAGGAATTATAGGGAAATCCAAGGAAAACTTTTCCTAATGGAAGCTCAGCTCCCTTCGCCTGTGGAATTTCCAGCCTTGGAAACATGGGAAGGAATTCCCAGATTTCCCAGCTCCAGGAACATTATTCCCTAATTCCAACCTCCATTATTCCATAATCCCATCATTCCAACCACCATAATTCCATAATTTTCAGTCTCCACACATTTTTCCATCTCCAGCATTCCAGGATGGAGAAATTGCCTTTTCCCCTTCCATGTTTTCCATGTTTTCCCCATTTTCCGGTGAAATCCCTCCCCCTAATCCCCAACACAAATCCGGGATTGGCTCCTGCTGCTGATTTTTCCCCTTCCCAGCTGCTTCCAGCTTTAATTCCCGAATTAATTTGGAGCCTCTTTAATCCCTGCCTTTAATTCCGAAGGCAATTCCCACCGGGATTTCTCTTCTGGATAAAGCCGAGATCGGATTTGTCTCCTCCAGGTGAATTTTTTCCTGTATTTCCCATTCCCAGATTTTGGGAATGACTGGAATTTTGGGAGCATCCAGCACATCCCAGCTCCAGAGCGACCCCCGCTCCTCCTTGGAGGGATTCCTGATTCCAAGGGAAATGTGGGAATGCTGGGAATCCCATCCCAGGGGAGTTTTTTTCATCTCCAATCCAGATTTATCCCAAAATTCCTGGATGTCCTATCATTCCAAAGCATTCCATGATCCCACAATTCCATCATTCCCAACCATTCCATGGTCCCACAGAATCTATAATCCAGAATTTTGGGATTCCCCAAGTTCCCCAAATTTTCGCTGGGAGCTTCTGCCTGGAATCCAAACAATTCCCAAAGGATTTCCTGGAGTGGGATCAGTCCAAGCTCTCCCTGTGGATCCATTCCCACTCCGGACTCTTCCCAAGGTTTTTTCCAGATCCGGCTCCTTAAATTCCACCTAAATTTGCCTTGGGCCAAGGAATGGTGCAATCCATGGAATTCTGGGAATCTTGGAGCTCATCCACAACATTTTCCTGCTTTATTGAGTTCCTTATCCCAAATTTTTTTCTCCTGAGCATTCCCGGCTCCAAGGAATTTGTGGAATTTTGGGAATTTTCCCAAGTTTTTTTCCATGCTGGATCCGGCTCCTTAAATTCTGCTTCCTGCCCCGCTCCTCCATTGAAATTCCCAGGAATCTTTTTCCCAGTGAAAATTCCCAGGAATTCCAACTCCTGGCCAAGAGCTCCTCCTGGTGTTTCCCCAGGATGTGATTCCCAAAGGAAATCCCTTTTCCTGGGATTCCCATGGATTCAATCCCGCTTTTTCTGCTGCTGAACTGATGGAATTTCGCCTCATTCATGAATTCCCACTTTTTTCCCACTCTTCCTGTGATCCCAGCAAGGATTTTCCAGAGCTTCCCTTCATTTTTCCCTTGGTTTTCCCTCTTTCCCAATTTTTCCCACATGAACAGCTAGGGAGCAGCAAATCCCGGGAATTTTAAGGATCCACCCAAATTCCACGAATTCAGAATCAGGAATGCTCCCAGAAGCAAAATCTGGGATAAGGAGCTCCAAAACCCTGGGACATAAGCTGGGAATGTTTCACATTCCCAAACTTCTCCAGAACTTTGGATCATCCACTGGGATGAGCCAGGAATGGGAAACATTCCCAGAATTTTCCAGAACATTGAATCCTCCCCTGGGACAAAAACTAGGAACGGGAAACATTCCCAGACTTTGGATTCTGCAATGGGAAAGGAGCCTGGAACAGCACAACATTCCCAGACTTTTCCAGGATGCTGGATTTTCCCCTGGGAAATGAGGCAGGAATGGGAGCACATTCCCAAACTTCTCCAGAGCCTTGTATCATCCATTGGGAAATGAGCTGGGAACGGGAAACATTCCCAAACTTCTCTGGAATGTTGGATCCTCCACTGGGATAGGAGGTAGGAATGGGGAACATTCCCAGGATTTTCCAGAATTTTGGATTCTCCATTGGAACACAAGCCTGGAATGGGAGCCCATTCCCAAACTTCTCTGGAACCTTGGATCCTTCCCTGGAACATGAACCGGGAATGGGAAACTTTCCCAAACTTTTCCAGAATGTTGGATCATCCATTGGAATACGAGCCAGGAGCGCGGCCACATTCCCAGAATTCCACAAAACCTTGGATCCTGCCCAGGGACTTCCTCCCTGGAATTCCTCCCACCGCCCAAAACTCCTGGAAAAATCCCCTTCCTATGGAATTCCAAACCTCCGCGAGGAAAAGGGCGGGTTTTTCCATGGAAACGGGAATTCCCAGAATTCCCAGGATTCCTGGGATTCCGCGGCTCCTTACCTGTGGGAGGTGAAGTTGTCGTAGGATCCGACGGTGTAGTGCCGGAAAAGCCGCTTGGTCCGGTCTTCCCTGGTTTCTGTGGGAAAAATCCACATCCCAAATTATTCCCGGCTTTTCCCGCCTTCCCAAGGGATCCACAAAGCCTGGGAATTCCATTCCAGGCAGGAATTTCTCCACGGATGAGGAGAATCCGTGGGGGGTGAGAGACCCACGTGTGGCCGAGGAATTCCTGGGAATGTCAGAGCCATTCCTGGAAATCATCCAGGGGGAAATTCCAGCAAAATTCCCGGCTGGAATGACAGAGGAGATGCAACCCTGTGGAAAACCCAAATCCCACATTCCTGCCCCGCTTCCATCCTTTTCCAATGTTGGAATGGATGGGAAGAGCTGGGAATGCTCCTGGGAATTCTGTGTTGTCCTGGATCTCCGGGAATGCCAGAATTCTGAGGAAAACCGGGAAGGACAGAGACCCTGGCACCATTCCTGAGGGAGCAGCTTCCATGGAAAAGCTGGGAATGTTTCAGGGATCCTCCAGCTCTCCCAGAAGTCTCTGGATCTCCAGGAATGCCAGAATTTGGAGGAAAACTGGGAATGAGGGAGACAATCCCAAGGGAGCAGCCACATTCCTGCCCTGCCTCCATGCTTTTCCCACCTTGGAATGGATGGGAAGAGCTGGGAATGATCCCTCCGGAGTTTTCCAGCCCTTTCCCAGCTCCACCTGGATTAGCCTGGGGAAAAATCCTCACTGCTCCAAGGGGCTCCCGGCTGGGATTCCAGAGGGATATTCCAAGGAAATGAAGAAGACTGGGAAGCTCCCAGGTAATGGCAGCACGTGGAATAAAACCAGGGAATTCCCCACTTGGATCAGGCTGGGAAAATCCTCACGGGTCCGAGGGGTCTCTGATTCCAGAGGGAAATTCCAAGGAAAAGGAAAAGCTCGGGAAGCTCCCGCTCGGCACCAGGAGACGGCAGCAGGGAGCAGCTGTGGAGCCGAGCCAGGAATGATTCCCGATGGGAATGGGGGAATGGGGGAGGGGAAGGGAAGGGAAGGGAAGGGAAGGGAAGGGAAGGGTGGGAAACAGGAGGGAAAAGGGAGAGAAGGAGGGAGGGAATTCCCAGCAGATCCTGAAGTCCCAGCAGATCCCAAATTCCTAGATGCCGACAGCTCCATGAGCTGATCCATCCAGCCCTGGCCTTTCCCAGCACTTCCCATTCCACCGGGATTTCAGGAATTCCCTCCTCCCGCCCCCTTCTCCTGCCATCCCAGCTCTTTGGAATTCCCAATCCCCCTCATCCCTTCTCCTCATCCCTCCGGACATTCTCCCTGGTCCCCAGCCCCTCCTGGATCCCATTCCCGAGGAAAAGCCGGGATTTATGGGCTGTCCACGGCCCAGCGGCTCCGTTCCCTTCCCGGCTCCCAAAAATAGCAGCGCTTTTAATGGAGCCGTCACGGAGCCTCCGGAGCTGATGGATGGATCCGGGAGCAGCCAGGATCCGCAGGGACACGGAGCAGCTGAAATGAACGGGAATGAGCCGGGGGAGTCCGGGATGGGATGGGATCCAGGGGGTGGGATGGGATCCAGGGAATGAGATCCATTACATGAGAGTTATGGGATCCATGGGATGGGATCTATGGGATGGGATTTATGGGATGTGATTTATGGGATCCATGGGATGGGATGGAATGGGATGTATGGGATGGGATTTATGGGATGGGATTTATGGGATCCATGGGATGGGATCCAGGAGATGGGATCCATTACATGGGAGTTATGGAATCCATGGAATGGGATCCATGGGATGGGATGGGATGGAATTTATGGGAATCCATGGGATGGGATTTATGGAATCCATGGGATGGGATCCATGGGATGGGATCCATGGGATGGGATGGGACTGAAGGAATCTGGGACAGTGGAAGGTTTCCATAGGGAATGGGATCAGGATGGGCTTTAAAGCCCTTCCCAACCTAAACATTCCTTGAATCCATGACCAAAATCCTTGGCAATTCGGGTCTGGAACAAATCTGGGATGTGCTTGGATCTGCCTGGCCAAGGGAGGGGGGAGAAATTTATCCCAAAATTCTGGGAAAAGCCTGGGTTTCAGAATCCTGATTAAATCCATGGAAAAGGATTATCCTGCTTTTTTTTTCTGGGATAATGGACAGCTGGAAAATCATCGGGAAGGACTCTGATTGGAGAAGGGATGGGATGGGATCCATGGGATATGGATGGAATGGAATTCCATGGGATGTTCTTCCAGTAGGAATCCAAAAACAGGGAATGCTGGAAAAAAGCTGGAAAAACAACCAGGAATGGCTCATCCTATTTTTTTTCCTGAGAATCAACCCCAGGTTGCAAATAAGGAGGGGGGAAATCCCCTTTGGAATGTGGGGAGAGCCCTTTTCCTTCTGTCTGGAGTTCTGGTTCCACGGAGAGTTTGGAATTTGATGAATTCCATTTAAAGGGAAGATTCCTGATCCTTGAAGTCTTGGGGAACGGGATTTTTCCTTTGTTTATTTTGGACCCAGGCAAGGAATCGTGGAATCCCAGAATTCCAGAGGTTGGGAAAGAATTCCAAGGACACCAAGTCCAAGACTGGTCTGATCCCAGCCCTGAGTGCCATCTCCAGGAATTCCTTGGATTCCTCCAGGGATGGCGACTCCAAAGCTCCCTGGGCAGCCCTTCCCAAGGCCTGACACCCTTTCCATGGGGAAATTCCCAAAAATCCAATCCCAACTTCCCCTAGGCCAGGCTGAGGCCATTCCCTCTTTTCCTATCCTTTCTTCCCTGGGAGCAGATCCCAACCCCACCTCAGATCCTGGCAGGAAGTTGGGAAAAGGGATAAAACCCCCCTGGATCCTCCTTTTTCCAGGCATGGAAAGCTCCTCCTCAGCAGAACAGGAATTCCTTTGGAATTCCAGAATTCCCATCAGGGCTGGGGCAGTTCCAGCTGCTTCTGTGGATCATCCTGGATTTTTCCTCTTTTCCAGGCTGACCAATCCCAGTTTTCCCTCTGCTCTCACCCCTCCATCATCCCAAACTCTCTGATGGTGAATCCATGATTGGAATTCATCCCTTGGGATACAACTGCCACAATTCCTTCCACCCCCATCCCACTGAAGGAGTGCCCTGGTGATTTCACCAGGAATTGCATCCAGAATTCTGGGATACCGACCTTCTCCAACTGACCAATCCCATTTTTCCCAGTTTTCCCTCTGTTCCCTTCCCAACCAATCCCAAACTCTCCACTCCCTGACGAGGAATCCATGACCAGAGCAGATCCCTTGGGATACAATGTCCACAATCCCCACCCCACTGAAGGAGCGTTCCGGTGATTCCATCAGGATATCCATCGGGAATTCCGGGATACTGACATTCTCCAGCTGACCAATCCCAATTTTCCCAGCTTTCCCTCTGCTCCCACCCTTCCATCATCCCAAACCCTCCACGTCCTGATGATGAATCCATGGTTGGAATCCCACACCCCCAAGCAGTGAAGGAGCACTCTGGTGATTCCATTGGGAATTCTGGCCAGAATTCCAGGATACCGACCTTCTCCAGCTCACCAATCCCATTTTTCCCAGTATTCCCTCTGCTCCCATCCCAACCAATCCCAAACTCTCCACTCCCTGATGAGGAATCCATGACCAGAGCAGATCCCTTGGGATACAATGCCCACAATCCCCACCCCACCCAAGTAGCGCTCCGGTGATTCCGTCGGGAATTCCATCGGGAATTCTGGGATACCGACCTTGCCTGGAGTCGTACTGACGCATCTGCACCTCCTCCACGCATTCCGCCGGGAACCAGCCGCTCCTGCCCTTCACGGAGCCTTCCCAGAATCCGCCCTCGCCGATGCTCAGCACTGCGAAAAACAGGGATCGGGAGTCAGGGGGGAATCCCGGGAAAAGGGGACCTGGCATGGAGGAGGCACCGCGGGAATCCGGGAAGCAAAGCTGGAAGGAAGCTGAGGAATGTGGAGTCTTCTGTGGGTTTAGTTCATTTGGAAAATCTGGAATTCCTGGATTTTCTCATTCTGGATGCCAAAATTCCCATCATTTTCCCACTCTGAATCCCCAAATTTTCCAACTCCGGATGCATAAATTTCCAAATTCCTCATTTTTCTCACTCTGGATGCCCCATTCCCAACTTTTCCCACTCTGGTTCCGCAAATTACCAAACTGTCCCACTCATGACCAAATCCCAAATTTTCCCACTCTGGATGCCTGAATTCCTGAATTCTCCTGCTCTGGATCTCCAAATCCCAAATTGTGCCACCCCAGATCCCCAAATCCCAAATTTTCCCACTCTGGATGTCCAAATTCCTGAACTGTGCCACTGTGAATCCCCAGATCCCAGCGGCACATTCCAGGTGTTCCCCAGATGTGAATTCTCTCCGGAGTGTCCAGATCCCAGAATTCCAGAGGCTGGAAAAGCCCTCCCAGATCACTGAGTCCAAACTGACCCCAGCCCTGAATGGAATTCCAGGAATTCCCTGGACACTCCAGGGTCTCATTCCCTGGAGCAGATCCCGATCCAAAGGCTGAGGTTGGGTGGATCCCAAACTTCTGCTGATTTTATGGAATCCTGGAATGGTTTGGGTGGGAAAGGACCTCAAATCCCACCTCAATTCCAAGGGCAGGGAATTTCCTGGGGAAGGGAGATTGGGGTAGGATTTTGGGAAGGAATTCCTGGCTGGGCTGGAATTCCCAGAGAATCTGTGGCTGCCTCTGGATCCCTGGAAGTGTCCAGGCCAGACTGGAGCACCCTGGGGTTGTGGGAATTTCCCTGCCCTTGGAATGGGATTTAAGGTCCCTTCCCACCAAACCATCCCAAGATGAAAAGAAAAAAACCCTGGGAATTCCTGTAGGATTTCCTGCCCCATTCCTGCATTTCTCCTGATGTTTCCCAGCTTTATCCCAGCTCCTATTCACAAGGATCTATCAGAGATAATCCTAAATTTCTTCAGGCATTCGGAAATCCAGCCCTGCTCCATCCATCCCAAAGAATTCCCAGAAGGATCCAGGAATTAAATCCTGCCTGGAGGCATCCAAGGAAAAACAAATCCAAGGAAAAGCCAAACAGCAAAATCCTTTCAGGCTCCTCCAGGGGATTTCTTTTGGGATGCAAATTCTCCAGCTTTCCAAAGGTTCCGGTGCTGTCAGGCCTTGGAATGATCCCAAATCCCGAATTCTGCTCAATTCCCACTGCTCTGCTCCCAGCAGCTACTCCTGGAAAATTCCCTCTTTGGAGTCCTTTGGAATTCCAGCCTCCCAGGAAGGAATTTTGGGATTTGGGGCTTCACTCCAAGACTCCCTGGGCAGCCCCTTCCAAGGCCTGACCCCCCTTTCCATGGAAAAATATTCCCAAAATCCAACCGCAATCTCCCCTCGAGGCTGTTCCTTCTTTTCCCATTCTTCATTCCCTGGATTCTTCTTTCCTCCCACAACCATTCCCAATTTTTCCTCCTCTCTTCCAACACTCCCCATCCTCATCCCACAGGGCCTGGACCAGCCTCGAATTCTAGCAGGGATTTCTGCAGGGAAATCCATGTTCTGTGTATGGAATGAGGGTTGGGAATGAATCCAATGGATCCAGGAATCAGCACCGGGAATGGATCCAATGGATCTGGGAATCAGCACTGGGAATGGATCCAATGGATCTGGGAATCAGTACTGGGAATGGCTCCAGAGGGATCCGATCGATCCAGGAATCAGCACTGGGAATGAATCCAATGGATCTGGGAATCAGCACTGGGAATAGCTCCGGATGGATCCAATGGATCCGGGAATCAGCACTGGGAATGGCTCCGGGTGGATCTGGGAATCAGCACTGGGAATGGCTCCGGGTGGATCTGGGAATCAGCACTGGGAATGGCTCCGGGTGGATCCAGGAATCATCCCCGGAGCCGTTCCTGCTCCGCCGGCTCCAGCTGTGGAGCTGATTTGGGAATGGATCCGGCTTTGATTCTCGTCATTATCCCGTCGTTCCGGCTCTAATCAAGCATTCCTTGGAAAAAATAGCGGCAATCAGAGGGAACGGGGAAGGGAGGGAACGGACGGAGCCGGGAAAACGTTCCCAAGGAATTTTCAGCCTCAGCAGAATTTCAGGACTGGGGGCCGGAAGGAGCTTGGGAATGGGATTTGCTGATCCAAAGGTTCCGGATCCTTCCCGTGGTCCAGGATTTCCTCTCCCTTCCCATTCCCATTTTCCTTCCCTATTCCCAAGGACCTGGATCCCACACAGAGAGGGATTCCCACAGTGGGAATGGGTTTTCCATGGGCTGGATTTCCAGGATTTCCCACCCCCCCCCTCCAGAATTCCCCAGCAAAACTTCCCAGAGCCGGGAACGGACGGAGCCGGGAAAACGTTCCCAAGGAATTTTCAGCCTCAGCAGAATTTCAGGGCTGGGGGCCGGAAGGAGCCTGGGAATGGGATTTGCTGATCCAAAGGTTCCGGATCCTTCCCGTGGTCCAGGATTTCCTCTCCCTTCCCATTCCCATTTTCCTTCCCTATTCCCAAGGACCTGGATCCCACACAGAGAGGGATTCCCACAGTGGGAATGGGTTTTCCATGGGCTGGATTTCCAGGATTTCCCACCCCCCCCAGAATTCCCAGGCAAACCTTCCCAAAGCAAATCCCGCCTGGAAAACTGGGATGAATCCCAGCACAATTAATCTTTCCCAAATTCCCAGTGCGGCATTCCCAGCACTTTTCCTTTATCCTAAGGAATTCCTGGCAGCTCCAGTGGGGTGGGAGCCACAGAAGCAGAATTCCCAAGGGAATGTGACCCTGGAATGGCCCTTAAAGATAAAAAGTGGGAATATTGGGAATAGTTCCAAGGGCCCCATTCCCAAAAACTGGGATCAATCCCATCCAGAGCCACCAGGATCCAGGGAATTCCAGCTCCTGGCACAGCCATGGGATAGGGAAAGCTGTTCCCAAATCCCACGGATCCCGGATTCCTCAGGGAGCCAATTCCAGGGTGTTGGGAATACAGTGAGGACCCGGGGGGACTGGGGAGATCCAAAGGCGCCCGGATTCAGCAGATTCCCAGAAAATTCCCAAGCATGGATATTCCTCAAATCCCACCCGGCAAAGGCCAGAGGTCAGAAAATCCTGGAATGGCCAGAGCTGGAAAGGATCCAAAGGGATCAAAGCCAGGAGGAATTGTGCTGGAATATTCCTTTTCCTGCTATTCCCACTTTTCCATAACCCGGGAATGACGATGGGAGCATCCCAGGGGATGAAAGGAGGGAAAACAAACAAACAACAACAACAAAAAAGGCTGAGCACATTCCATAGGAAAAACAGGGAGAAATTCCCTTTTCCTGCAATCTCCAGCACTGGGAGAGCAGCGGGATCCTGGAACTGATGGATCTGGACAGGCAAATCCAGGGAATTGTGGCTGAGGGATCCAGGAGGGAAAAGCGGGAATGAGGCACCAATCCCAGTGGGAAATCCTGGGAAAAGCCCATTTCCAGCTGGAAACGGGAATCCCCGAGCCTCGGGAATGCTGGGATCACAGAACGCCCTCCAATCCCTGCTCCAAGCCGGGAAAGAGCCAAAGTGAGGGAAAAGCAGCAGGATTCCCGGGACTGCACTTGGGAAAGGGATCCTGGGATGGTTTGGGTGGGAATGGAGCGGAAATCCCATCGAATTCCCAGGGCAGGGAAATTCCCACAATCCCAGAGTGCTCCTGGACACTTCCAGGGATCCAGAGGCAGCCACAGATTCTCTGGGAATTCCAGCCCAGCCAGGAATTCCTTCCCAAAATCCCACCCCAATCTCCCTTTCCCAGGGAATTCCCTGCATTCCCAGCTCTCCCAGCCTGGGATTGGATCCATCCCTACACCGATTCCACTCTAGGAAGGCATTTTGGAATGCGTGGGTTTCACTGGGAATCTCAGGACTCCAGGATGGGTCTCCCTTCCCTTTTCCATCCCGACCTTCCATAAAAATCCCTCAGGGTGGATTCTGAGCGTCCCAAATCCCAGAATCCCGGAAAGGTTTGGGTGGGAGGGGACCTTCAACCCCATCCCATTCCAACCCCACCATCCCAGGCTGCTCCAACCTTTCCTTGGGCACTGCCAGGGATGCAGGGGCAGCCCCAGCTGCTCTGGCAATTCCAGCCCAGCCAGGAATTCCTCATGGCCAAGATCCCATCCATGGCTGCCCTCTGGCACTGGGAGCCATTCCCTGTGTCCTGTCCATCCCTTGTCCCCAGTCCCTCTGCAGCTCTCCTGGAGCCCCTGCAGGCCCTGGAATGTGCTGGAAGCTCTCCCTGGATCCTTCTCCTCTCCAGGAGAACATTCCCAGATTTCCCAGCCCGGCTCCAGCTCCTTCTCCCAGTGTTTATTCCCTCAGATGTTTCCCAGGCTTTTCCAGGAGCTTTCCTGGCTCGGCATTCCCGAGCTCCGGAGAAGAGGGAAGAGCAGCCGGAGCCGTCTCACACCCGTGCCCACGGAAAACATGGATGGGAAAGGAGTCAGGGATCCAAGGAAACCCGGCCCGGCTGCCAGGCTGCTCCAAGCTTTTCCCGGGAAGAGGAGGAGGAGGAGCCCCGGGAGTTCAGGGAATCCCTTTGGACTCCGCAGGAATCCCCTTCCCGCTGAAAAGGCCTGGATGCGTTTGAGGGATTAGCGCCATTCCAGAGGCGGAAATTCCTCAGCTAATCCGGCCTCGGAAATGTCTTGAATGTTATTCCAGCCTGGGGGTATTTTCCTAATTCCCACCCGAACTCCAAGAAAAATTTGGGATCAGCCCTGTAAGCAGGAATTGAGAAATATTTGGGGATCACTCCCTGGTGGAATTCCCAGCTGGAAAACAGCAGGATTTGGGAATTCCCCATCCTGAAAAATCCCA